CCTTGTCAGCAGAACACAATAGCTCTGCGGGAGGGTTTCGCCCATCAACATTGACTGTATTTCTGGGGGAATTGAGATTTTCTTTCCTGCAAACTGTAGTTGCAGGAAAGAAAATCAAATCATGCATGGCTTGTTTTGGTGTATGTTGTTGTTATTATTATTATACAGTGTTTATATAGCGCCAAAAAGTTTGCTCAGCGCTGTACAATATAGTGGGGTGTATGTTGATAATATCATGTTTAAAGGGCAGTTGAGCTTGCAGTTTAGATTGGCTAAATACATTGGCTGGCCATGGACAGAATAAAAATTGTCCGACTCATCAGAGATCGGATGAATTTTGTTCAGTGCGTGCCTGTGCTTAAACAGAAGTTGAGCATTAGAATGGTGGAGGACATCTCCTGGAGTAGAGCACTCTCTGAAACCAGTACCAGAGGCAGAAGGATGAAGGTGTGCTAAGCGGGATGGGACCAGGTACCATCTCGTGACTGGTTTAAAGGGAGATTCATTAATAGAGCAGAAATCCAGTGTGGTCCAGATTTGTGACCAGCAGCCCCTATCTTTGGTGCTTTTAAGATCCCTTTCCCACCTAGAAAAGTAAGTGTGATTATTAGGGTTTTGGAGAATATTCAGTTGTTTGTAGAGAGTGGATATAAGTTTGGGGGAAAAGGGCGGCCGATAACAGATATGTTCAAACAAAGACTGCTGGTTCGTTGGGGCTCTGTCAGCGAGCACTGATGACAACCAGTGTTTAATCTGTAGAAATCTAAAAAGTTCTGTGTGGGGGGCCTGGTATTTATCCCTAATTTCCGCCCAGGTGTAGATAGTGACCAGTGAGGAACAAGTGAAGTTTGTGGGAGATCCACCAATAGAAGGCACTATGGGACGTGAGGACTGGAGAGAACAGTGGATTAAAGGGAGAGAGGAGTGGAAGATGGGGGAAAATTAGGCCAGACTCGTAACAGGTGAGACATTAAGGAGCTGATGGTTGTGGGTCTAGACTTTGGTGGAAGCCACAAAAGTGAACGGGGAGAATACCGGAAAACAAATTGCCTCCAGAGTGACCCATAAAAGGGGCTTGCTGTGCAGCATTTATAGAAGTCTTAGATGCAATATGAGCTGCTTCATAATACTTAGAAAAATTAGGCCCCTTGTTTCCTGTGAGCATAGTATGTTTTGAAATGACTTGAGAGCATAAGAGGGGATAGAGACAGGAAGGGTACGAAACAGATGTAGGAGCTTCAGAAAGGATTATTTTTTACAGCATTGATTTGACCTATCCATAAAAGGCTGTGGTGAGACCAGGACATGAGCAGAGCTTTGAGGGAGTGGGAACATAATGCGTTTCATAGAGCATATAATAGGATTTGGTGAATCGGATCCCTAGATAGTTCAGGTGAGCATTAGGCCAGGTAAATTTATAGTTTTTGCTTCAATAAGGTGAGGAAGGAAATTGATAAGAGCAGAAGATTTGTCTTCGTTCACGTTCAAGCCAGAGATATTAGAAGAGCGTGTGAGAGTAGAAAACAGTATAGGAAGCGTGGTATGAGGTTGAGTCAGAGTTAGAAGCATATCTTCTGCAAATGAGCTGACTTTGAACAACTGTTGGCCAACTGTAATCCCTTTTTAATGTCAGGGTTAGAACTGATAAGGTGCAATAAAAGCTCCAAAGCTAGAATAAAGAGTATGTGGGATAGGGGACATCCCTGCCGTGTGTCCATGTAAATTGGAAAGGAAAGGGCTTGTCGAGAGAGATAATGAACCTTGTAGCTGCTGACTTTTTAATTTTTTTAAAGCTTTGACTGGAGCTCTGCTTTAAAGGTCATTCTCCTTGCTGATTGGAAAGCTTCTGTGGCTGTGCAGGGGGTGTCTTAGACCACTGCTTTGTTCCTTCTCTTTAACATGCCCAAGGCACTGGATTTGGCTGCTTTCTAAAAATAATTTACTGTTAGACTTTGCACGCCCTTTTGTCTTAATGCTCCTGAAATGTAATTAGCTGATTTAAACTGAAAGTTCAAGTGAAGGCTTTAAAAGAGTGTCCACATGTACATGTTTGAAAAGCTAAATGAACTAATACTGGTTTTTTTTTTTTGGGGGGGGGGGGGGTTCTTTCGAACCAGTGCATATCTGTCCCAAGACAGATTTTAGCCTGATTGTTCAAAAATGCTTTGCATATGGCATCCAGCAAGTCAGTTTGCATATTACAGAGAAATAATAAGGAAGGGGGGGGGGGTGTTGGGTATGATTGGATGCTATTGGCAACCTAGACCCTCAGCCTTACCTTCAATATTACTCGCAGTGCTGAACACATCCACTCAATGCTCCATTGAAGAGCCTCACACCAATTGCAGTGTACTGACAAGATCTTGTAAGATTTCACATTGTACTGCTGAGAGACCTCCCTGGAAGGCACTAGTTTTGCAGCCTTCCCAGTGTGACCTTTTTAAAGCCCTTGGTACCTAACAAGTGCCTTGAAATCATAAAGTACAATACAGTTACATGTGTAGGTAACTTGATAAATATTTTATTTCCCAAATGACCTGTAGATGTTTTGGGTGGTGCATTCGCCAGGAATTTTTAGTGCTGGGCAGGGAAGGTCAGCTTTTTTTAGGCTCCTTTTTTACATGGGCGCTGTCAGGCAGCAAAACCAGATGGTTGAGGCATGTTTTTTAACCTCAGCTGCCTGTCAAAACAAGGTAATGGCGCCAGACAGCCCCATACACATTGGTGCAGCAAGATAGTGCAGGCAATGCTCCCCAGAGGTGAATTGCTGTGTTTATAACCATGGTGAAGAGGGATTTCAGTGCAAAATTCCTTTTTTAACAAGCATGCAGGAGGCAGCATTTCCCCTCCCAGTCACCCCGGATCATCAATCGGCTACTAGGCCCATGTGAAAGAGGCCTAAGCCTCCTCAGGTTTGACCGACTCACAACAGCTCTAATATATGCGAAGATTTGTTCAGACACCCCTGGATACTTTTATATCGTCAGGCAAGCTCTTTGATTGTAGAACCATTACAGTTTCACTCAAAGCAGCAGAGAGTTAACAGTAATACTAGCTGTACACATGCTTCAGTCCTTTTTAGTGAGGTCATATCATCAGCTGCAAAAGCCATGTTACACCCTTCTGCAAATGTAAGTGAAATGTGCTATATATCTGCGAACACTGCTAGCATCTTGTTCTTATTAGTTTTTCCCTTGTTAGCCTTTCCCTTTACTACCAAGTGTCATGTTGAAGGGGTTTGACAGGAACAGGCAGAGCTTTAACATACAGCATAACTAGAATTCACATCATTTTTCAAAAATTAGAATTGCTTTCAAAAGGAAAAATAATAGTTTAAGAAACTGTGTACCTAAAAATATGATACTATTTATGCCAAGAAACCTTATTCCATGTTAGATTTATTAGTAGATTGTATTCCATAGGAAAACTGTGTATTTGGTCTTTAAAGGATAAGTTCACTTTTCCAAAAAAGTAATAAATGCAAATTTTTTTTTTTGCTGGAAAAAAAAAATATTAATTTACATTTTTTTTTTTAATTTTATTAGGAGCCTATAACGCATTGACCCACAATCAGCAGATCTTGGGTGTAATGCCACGGTCCTGCAGACTGTCTGTATCTGTCTGCCCATATGTCCGATACGGGCAGGCAGTTACACTTAGACAGGAGGCTGAGTGAACTACCTATCTCAACAGTGCTCTGGTAGTTAATTGAGAACACAAGCCTATAGCCGCAAAGGCTAACGGGGCTTGTAGTTTTCCCATTCACAGAACACTGTGAATGGATTACATGGTTGGGCTGGAGAAGACCTACCTGTCACAACGGAGGATCGGGGCGTGGGCTCCAGTGCATTTGTAACATGTTACATGGTATACCCTGAATATGGGTGTAACATGTTACAAAACGTGAACTTATTTGTACTGCTAGATAGATGTCCCGCTCTGGGGAAGCATATAAATACAAGCAGAAGTAATGTTGTAAAATCAGAAATTTGAGTTATTTGATGAAGCGAATAGGAGTTTTGTTCATATACTGCATTTTACGTTTCAAATGGTACATCAGTGGATACATTCTAAGTAGACGTTAACTGCATATGCATGCATGTCTTAAGCCGAAGCAAGAGGAAGAACGACATTACAGTGGCTTTGTGTTTCATTTGTTTGATATTTGCTTTGGAAATGGTTTATTATTTTAACACTTTAAAGGAAGCTCCATCCAAAATAGGTTGGTGAGACCATCCTAGCACCCTTGGGTGTTAACAACACTGATCTTAATGAACTATATATACATACAGTATGTATATGTGTGTGTATAATTTATCACATACATGGGAAATGCAACAAGGGTTTATGCCCAAGGGTGGGAAAAACAACGCAATGGTGAGTAAATGCAGAGCCTGAGGCTATTGCATGGAGATATTACTGCTGTAGTTAAATGTAGATGGAGTGTATCACATTACCTGTATGTTTCTGCTAAAAATCTTCTCAAAACTCCCAGATACCTTCCTCAGTGGCCTTCCAGCACTGTGAGAGTTAATTAAAGCTGTGGCTACAGAGAAAAGTTGTGTCACTTGCCCACAACATTCTGCTGTCTGTCATTCAAAGAGCTCTTATTACTACTGGTCGACGCTGCATTGTGTTCTGTAAATGGGCAGAAAAACAGTTCAATTACAGGATTGCTTGGTCCATCTACAGAATGCAGTGCATTGTGGGTTGGTAGTAATATGAGTTCTGTGAATGGGTAGAGAGGACAGAAGGAGGCGGGCAGCACAGCTTTTCTCTGTAGCCGTTAATTTGGTTCTCGCAAACTGAAGATGATATCTGGGGACTCTGAGGAAGCCTTGAGAGGAAGGATTTTAGAAGAGGCAGACACCTGCAGGTAGTAGGGTGCACATCATTACACATTAGAAAAAAAACCTCAGCTTTACGGCAGTATGTTTTGCAATACATTTAGTTTTTTTCTAGTTTACTTGTGATGTATATTTTTATTTTGTTCCTTCTAGAACGATCCTGATGCACATGACAAATTTTTAAAAATAAATCGGGCGTATGAAGTTTTAAAAGATGAAGATCTTCGAAAGAAATATGATAAATATGGGGAAAAAGGTTTGGAAGATCAACAGCAGCAAGGAGGTCGCTATGAGAGCTGGCACTTTTACCGATATGACTTTGGTATGTATATGCTTCCTATTTTCTCATGAAACTGTGATATTACTTTACTTCCGCCTGTCTTGCTGCATACTTGTTTCAGTGAGTCATATGATCTGTTTTTTTTGGGAGCGTGGACCGGCTCAATGTTGTCAGTCGACAGCAGACTTTAGTCCTCTGTCACCTGAAAACGAGACACAGGAGTTCAGAACGAATTTCATGGTCCATAGGAGAAGTATTGCCAAAAAAAAAGCTTTGTCTATACTTCTCAAGTCAGACAAGAAGCATTTTCAGATGGTCAGCAACAGCAAGCCACAGTGGCAGAGATTTCATGGTCTAAAATATTTTATATACTAAGGGAAACCATGCACCAGCCCTGTGTCCAATCGTGACCGAAACCATTAAAAAAGGCTGTACTAGCACCACTTCTTGCACTAACAGCGATCTATCAGTGGAGGCTGGGCAGATTAATGAAAGGTCTACCTCATCCATTCATAGAGCGCTTTTTATTGTGGTAAGCAATTGTAGAGCCTTTATGAATGGAGTGGGATGAAGGAGTTGAAAGGACAGGCAGAGTCAGCACTTTTGATAAGTATCAGTGCCAGGTCCAGTAGATCATATTAACCTGCAAGATCCCAGATGCAAGGAGTTTTGGGACAAGAAGGGGGGTGTAGAAGTAGCACAAGGGATAGTTGACATTCAGTGTAAGCAAGTTACCATTCTTGGTGCTAACTTAAAAAAATAAATATATTTTTGTAAGCTGTAGTAAATTACATTTTTAGTTATTGGATTTAGATACACTTAAAGCTGTAAGTGAATACATCTAGGTGTTTTACATTGTCAATGACAGTTTACCCTTGTCAAAGTTACCGTATTTTTCGCTCTATAAGACGCACCTAGGTTTTAGAGGAATAAATACAAGACAAAAAATATTCTGAACCAATAGACTGCAGACATAGTACAGGAAATGACCAGTGACTGTGGACGTACTACAGGAGAGGACCAGAGACTGCGGGCGTAGCGCAGGAAAGGACCAGAGACTGCGGGCGTAGCGCAGGAGAGGACCAGAGACTGCGGGGCGTAGCGCAGGAGAGGACCAGAGACTGCGGGCGTAGCGCAGGAGAGGACCAGAGACCTTTCAGCAATGCACATATATACAGTTTGGTGTAGCAGTCCACAGGCAGTCTATGGGGGGGGGGGGGGGGGAGAACATACCTGGCCAGCCGGGCTCAGCATCCACTCTGAGGGTGGGTTTCACAACAATGTCTTCAGCGTACCCTGCCAGCTCTGCAGTGCAGTGATCGGGGCCCCAATCTTAGGGCAGGGCGGGCTTAAAGCAGAGTTCCACCCAAAGGGGGAAGTTCCGCTTTGACTATCACTCCCCATTAAGGATTGGCACCTTTTGGGAGCAGGTTCCCGAATTTGACAGGTACCAGCTCCCACTTCCATTGTGATCGCCTAGGCGATTTGAAGCGGAATTTGTCCTCCCTCCCTGTAGTCTTCTGGGACACGTGACCGGTCCCAGAAGACTACAGGGCCATTCACAAAGTGCAGCGCTTCTTGCGCATGCGCAGTGGGCACCAGGCTGTGAAGCCACAAGCTGCCACAGCCGGGTGCCCACACTACAGATGCTGCCACCAGGGAGAGAAGACGGCCGGGGAAACCAGCGGTGGTGAGGACACTGCTGGATTGAGGAATAGGTGAGTGGCTGTATTTTAAAAGTCAGCAGCTACAGTTTTTTGTAGCTACTGACCCTTTTTTTTTTTTTTTTTTTCCCCAGCCGAAACTCCTCTAAGGGGCAGCTGCTTTGGGCCGTCTCTGGCACTGCTGACTCGAACTCTTCCTCTCTTCTGCCACAGAAGAGCCGAGCGCCCAGCCCGGGAATTGTAACACAGCGGGGGGAGGGTGGGAGAGTCCTGGTCAATATTCGCTCCATAAGACGCACAGACATTCCCCATTTTTTTGGGGAGAAAAAAGTGCGTCTTATGGAGCAAAGAATACGGTAAGTACATTCTAGACAGGTAGTGGTATTTTGCAAATATAATATTTATTTTATCAACTGGACTTGTCATTTGCCATTTTCCCAAATAACAAACTGGTATCTGCTCCTTTTTAGTCTTTGTTTATTCTGTCACGGACCTTTACATTCCAGGATGTGATTGTCCAAATGTCATACCTTCAGGTCACCTTGTTATATTACAGTTGATTGAGCAGCAGGCAATATTCCTGCTTGTGCATCTACTTAATGAATGTGTTTTCTAAAAGCCCTTTCTTTAGTATGTTGTGCTTATAATTTAAATTTAACATTTTCTTTTTCAGGTATTTATGATGATGACCCTGAAGTCATCACCTTGGATAGAGGAGAATTTGGTAAATATACCTTTTTATATGCCTAATTTTCTTCTCTGTGAGATCTATAAGGTCCTTACAATTTTGAGTGCATATATAAGAAAGGAAAGGGTGATTGGAGCTTGATATTTGGGTTCTGGATCAGAACTGAGGCTTTGTCTATAGCTATCACTCTAATGTCCTTTTTCAAGTGAAAAAGGAAATCTAACTCTTACCAAGTGAAAATAGTTCTGATTTCACTTAAAATAATTAGTCCTTTAGATGATATACAGTACATTAGATGGCTTTCTACAAAACTAAATACTGTTATTACATGGATTGCGCTTGTGGGCAAATGTGAAAATGTGAATTCTAGATTTGCAAAAATTGCAATCTGTTAGAAGCTGTAGTGCAGAGGTACTCAACCTGTGGCCCGAGGAGCCCTCTAATGTGGTCCATAACCTCAAACCAGGGAAGCGCATGCCTGGTGTTTGGTAACCCGTTGATTGCGATCTGGGTTTGTCAACCCGCCATCCCAGTGCCAACCCACATCAGTGTGCAGTGAGCTGGAGCTGCCAGTGGAGGGAGCAGGTGGCCACAAAGGGATTAGGAGCCACATAAACTGATGCTTCCTCTGTAGAGCTGGGTCCTATCCTGGGCAGAGTGATAGCAAGAACACTCTGTCTTTTAATCTTTTCTAGCAGCATCTGCAAGAGGAAAAGAAGGTAAATGTGTTAAACAACACATACACTTGACATAATGGTGTTTGCAATGGGCATATTAGCACCAAGGGGTTAACATCTATTAGGCTGCTTTCACACTGACCCGCGGGTGCAGCGTGGTTCACCTGTGGATTTACTGTGCGTTGGCTGCAACGAGCAATAAACTTCTATTATATCCTGCGAGTTTGGTGTTTTCAGAGTTTGCACCACACCTGCAAGATGTAATAGAAATCTATGACAAAGCGCAGCTTACCCTCAGGAAAGCCAGAGATGCAATTTGCTGCACTTGCAGTGCGGGTAAACACAATGCATCAGTAGGAAAGCAACCTCATAGGGGGCTCAGGACAGTGATACTGTTGAATGTCAGCAAATCAGTCCAGACATAAGATGTCATTTGCCCATTCCAGAAAGAGATCTCATTGCTGTAGGTATCCAGATACCTGGTCAGTGGCTATCAGGAAGAAATGAGCAATTGGATAATTTGAGAAACCTGTTCCCGAAAGTACTGTTTGGTCCTGATTAAATCATTGCATTCCTCTCTCCTCCTTCCTTTCTCCTATTCTCTCCATAGATAGAAACTTGTATTTTCAAGTGTAGTTTGCATCTTTATAATTTTTTCACATGGCAGCCAAGGTATAGCATAAATGCTGAATTCTGTAGAAGTTATCCAATTTATGTTAATGTTTTTTTTTCTTTTTTTTCTCCCTGAACAGATGGGGCCATAAACTCTGGAGAACTGTGGTTTGTTAATTTCTATTCGCCCCGCTGCTCCCATTGCCATGATCTTGCTCCTACAGTAAGCGGTGCTCTATATAACTGATTGTGATGTTTTGATCTGTTTTTCTGTTGTTTAATGAATGAGTTTTCACCCTTGTCAATTCTTAGCAGTGTTTTTTTTTTTTTTCTGCCTAGTGGAGAGAGTTTGCCAAAGAGATGGATGGTCTTATTCGCGTTGGAGCAGTAAATTGTGGAGATGACCGCATGCTCTGCAGAAGCCGAGGAATTAATAGTTATCCAAGCCTCTACATTTTTAAAGCTGGAATGGTAAAGTGTTTTTTTTGTTTTTTTTTTTGTTTTTTTTCTAAACCTTTTGAGGGTTTTTTTTGCAAAAATAAAATAACCTTCTTTAGTTGATCTTTATACTGTACATGACAGTGATTTCAGCAAACTTTGTACCAGATTTTTACCTTTACCTGTTGTGAAAAAAGTTGTTTCACCAGGTCTTGTTCAGTCTTGAATATTACCACTTAAATAAAGCTTTAGTGTTTGCATCCCTTTGGAAGTAGGCAAGCCTTTAGGAGCATCTCACTAAAAATAAAACATTGCAAGGGATGCTTAAACGTGTCTTGTATCTTGGTGCAGACTTCAACAGAGATAAGTGAGCCAATCAAAGAAAGATGAAATTCCTTTTCTGGAAGCTTTCTGTATGTCATGGAAGGCCTCCATGTTGCCATATTGGAAAGAAGTGGCATTTGACAGTTTCAGAAAATTACAGCAGTTGCTGAATAACATTGACATTTTTAATAACGCTATATTACAAAGTAGCCTATATAGCAATTATATCTGTTATTTGTGTTTTATAAATGTTACTCGCATGTTTTTTTAAAAACAAAATTAGTTTCCTTAAAGTATAACTAAAAGCAATACTTTTTTTTTTTTTTTTTTTTTTTTTTTTTTTTTTTTTAGTTTTGGATAGTACAGAGATGGACTAAATCGCCTATTAGTAGGGATGCACCGATATTGAGTATTTTCATTAGTACTTGTGAAAATACTCCCGATACCTTAACTGATACTTTTTTGCAGTGCAATTTGTGTTAATATTCACAAATTACACCGCAAAGAGTAGTATACAATTTGAACAGGAATGCGACTCTTGTCTAAATCGCATACAGTTTCCCCACTGCTCCTGTATGAACCCAGGCTTGTCATAGGAGTGGTGCGAGAGACCTTCCTGCAGGTATCCCAAGCTGAATCTCAGTGTTAGGAGAAAGATGTGGGGATCAGAAATCCCCGCCTCTTTCTTTCCTCTCTTTGCAGCAACGACAGTTCGGGCTAGGTGGCATCTGATTGGTCAGCACTGTCCATGTGACGGTGCTGACCAGTCAGATGCCGTCTAGCCAGAACTGTCAGGATTTCAAATCCCCGCTGCTTTCTCTCCTCTCTTACCACTAAGACTCAGCATGGGATGCCTACAGGGAGGTTTTTCACACCGCTCCTGTGTGGACTTGGGCTATGACAAGCCTGAGTTCACACAGGAGTAGTGGGTAAACCGCATGCAATTTGTACAGGAGTCGCATTCTTGTTCAAATGGCATGCTATTCTTTGCAGTGCAATTTGTGTCCATTAACGCAAATCACACCGTAAAGTATCGGTAAGTGATATTGTTGAGTACATGACTAAAAGTATCGGTACTCGTACCAACATTAGGGAGAGTCACCATCTCTATTTATCCTTTTTGCCATTATCATTAAAAGTAAAAGAAAATCCCACATTTTGGGTTGTCCCCAGAAAAGTAATAGAGGGGAAATCTTCCACTGGGGACGCTAGTTCTGAAGACCTAGGAGGCCCTAAACTATTCTCCTAATTTGCAGGGATGATTTTCTGTCACTTCCTGTTTTTGCTATGGGACAGGAAGTAAAGGTAAATCTACCAAATGGGTCACAGATTGCAAAATAAACTGACAGGGGTTACAACCCCCCTTAATCCCCCTTTTTAAAAAAAAAAAAAAATTTTACTTTGCATTAGAGTGGAAAAAGTTAATGTATTTCAGGGTTTGCTGTCTGTGACCCTGCTGGGGAGATTTTCTCTTCTTTTCCTTATGACAGAAGTTGACAAGACTGAAAGAGAGAAAAAATATCTCCAGTGGGATACACATCAATAAAGCCTCATTTTTCGGTAGTGTTTGAAAGGTTTAAACTGCTGTCAGGTTTTTGTTTCTGTCTGTGACTTCATTGAGGAAATATCCTCATTTCTGTTAGATTAGTGGGATAGGAAGTTTATGATAATATCTACCTAAAACAAAGTACACATTGGTGAATGCTCCTTGCCTCTATTGAAAGCAAAATTTCAGAGTTGAAAATTGACTTCGCTGTGAAAAATAAGAGGTGATTTATTGGTGAGAACAAAAATCTGATTTTTTTTTTTTTTTTTTTTTTTTTTGTGAGTGAGGTGTTTTGACTGGGGGACAAAAGTTGATTTTTACCTCTTTCTGTACAGTCCCTATAGGGTGTCATGTGTGTTTTTTTTTTGTTTTTTATCTACAGGATCCAGTCAAGTACTTTGGTGATCGAGTAACAAATAATTTGATAAATTTTGCAATGAATTATGTGTCAAGTTCTGTAACAGAGTTATGGGCAGGTAAGAAAATAACACCAGATTGAGCAGTACATACCAAAGACAGATTGTAGGCGTTATTCATAAGCCCCAAAGTAGGCTTTCTCTGGACTGCTGACGCATACAAAGAGAGAAGTGACTGCACATCACTTTTCCAGTGTAGATAACAGAATTTAAAATCCTAAATAAAGTACAACAGTGTTCCCCTGGGGAAACTCCTCTTCTAACATGTTTTCATCCTCCAAACACAATTATACATTAAAGCTGAAGTTTGATGTGTTTATATTTGCTTCTTCAGTTCCCCCTCCCTCTTCATTAACATGTTGTGAAATTTTAAATAAAACTTTACTGTTTTCATTACATACCTTATTATTGACCCAGTTATGTCATCATTGTTCTCTATACATTGCTATGCAATGTAGGCAGATCATGGCTGGTGGGATGGGGGAAGGGGGAGATGGGGCCAGTGACAGGGTTCTGTACATAGTTTCCTAAAAACATCACCGCACCCTTTCTCAGTACTTCTCTCAAGAGCTCAATAGAAAAATGTATGTTGGGTGGGATTTTATAGACTCCAAATTAGACACGCAGATTATTAAAATCCTATTTTAATTTTTATACAAAAACTAAAAGAAACCAATAAAATCGATTAAATACAGCGTAAATATAATAGAAAAATGAAGGCCACCACAAAATGAATGTCTTAATTGATGTAAGCTGATATCCTGTTCATGCACAATAAATCCCGTCGTGTTTCAACTCTTGAAGCGTTTTCCTCAGGGGGTAAAGAACATGTTGGACTCTAAAATACAAATACATATCAATAATGAAATCCAATAAAATTATATAAATATACTTTCTCTCAGGAGCTCTCAGCCCTGATGCAAGTAGTGGGCTGGTTCTTGGCAGGAGTTACGCAAATACTGAAATACCTTGATGGATGGCTGTCAGTCTAGAGGAGTGGGCATTCCATGGCAGGCTGTATTTGAATGCAGACTGCCCTAGGTAATACCCACAAGTGATGGTGAGCCTCCATGTGTGAAAGAACTGAAATCCAATTAATGAATAAGCCAAGAACGGTGAGGCTGGGTAGGAAACGGGGCAATTGATCTTGGACCTCCTCCAGCCAGGAAATTAGATGGATTCTGTCTGATTTGCAGCTTCTAATGCATACTGCGAGATATGCTTCAATTATGTAAAACGCATTAAATTGGTTTTAAAGGAATGTATATATGAATTTAAGAGGTGGTTTTCATATGTGTCTGGAGTTCAGCTTTAACCACTTGCCTACAGGCACTTTTACCCCCTTCCTGCCCAGGCCAATTTTCAGCATTCAGAGCTGTCACACTTTGAATTACAATTGCGTGGTCATGCAACACTGTACCCATATGAAATTATAATTTTTTTCACACAAATAGAGCTTTCTTTTGGTGGTATGTACTCGCCGCTAGGTGTTTTATTTTTTGCGCTCTAAACAAAAAAGAGCAAAAAATTAAAAAAAAAAAAAAAAGTTTTTTCTTTGTTTCTATTATAGAATTTTGCAAACAGATAATTTTTCTCCTTCACTGATGTGCGTTGATGAGGCAGCACTGCTAGGCAGCGGCGGCACTGATATGCAACAATGATGGGGACAGGTGGGTGGCACTGATGGGCACTTGTGATCGGCACTGATGGGTGGCACTGATCATCAGTGCCGATCCATCCTATTACAATAGTCGGTTATCGGCAGTACTTTCCTCATGCTGTGACAGTGTGAGGAAAGTGCAGTCGATAATCGGCAACTGCATTTACTGGTGATCTGCTGTGTCGCTGGACACAGCTGATCACGTGGTAAAAGGCCTCTGTCCATAGGACACAGCGATCAGAGATCGCCGGGGGGGCGCGAGAGAGCACGTTCTGGGAAGACATCATATGACTCCCTCCCAGGACTGGACAATCGTGCTGTAGCAGTCATTCGGCTATAGCGTGGTTGCCAAGTGGTTAACGTGTAACTTATTATTTTCCAATGTGATATTATACTATATGTGAAATGTAGTTTGCCAAACTTGTATAACCTGTCTTGTTCCCCTTTCCTAGTACAGCTTTCTAAAGTTTATATAATGCCTTAAAGGGAAATATTTGAACTGTGGAATGATGTAGCCGTTCCAGTCTTTCATAATCAACCATACACATGTCCCCATGACAATGTACACAATTTTAATATATCCATTTTGTCACAAGTAACAAAGAAAAAAAACACAATGAATATTGAATCCTTTTTACATCAGTTTACATCAGTTTGTGAATATACTGTATATGGTCCTAACTGTATCTTCGATTCATTTTATATCAGTATACCTCTGTTCTTCACTTCCTTATTTTTTTTTAACCTTGGAGAAAATATTTATTAGTGGATAAATGTATAAATGTTGTTGTGTTTCTTGCTTGGAAAATGGATGTAGATGGAATTGAAATACACTGACTAAATTTTGTTTTATGTCTGGAAGAATCCTAAAGGACTTACATTTTTTCTGTTTCTTTCTGGGGATGAACGATGACTTAGATGTAAGCAGACATTTGTTTGTTTACATCTATAGACATGCATTGTGGTTCAGTCTGGGTTCGTCTGGAAAAACTGACAGATGTTCAGACTGAATGAATGTTTGTGTGAACTGGTTCTATCGAAAGCTTACTTGGGTCCAATGAACAAAAAAACATCCAGGAGGCTGGGACTTTGATGTAAGTTTGTACAAAGTAGTGAGCGGACAAAAACAATTTGAGAGCTCACTGGCTCAGGTAAAGCTGCTTGTACCCTCCTGTGGGTACCCCAACAGATTACCAGAAGAAAAACATGCACTTAATGGAAGGGGTGCCAGACCAAAGGATAAGAGTCCAAATTAATGCATCAGTTCATGCTAAAAAAACCCAATGCATTTTGGGGGTCAGAAAAATCTTGATTACTCAGATATTGCTGGCCAGTAACTCTTGATCCAGCAATTGGCCTCTCTGCACAGATTCAGAGGAAAGCTCTATTTTGAGTCCATTCAAGGTTCTTATCCTAACCAAAGCCCTGATGAAGGGGGAGATTTTCTAACCCCTGAAATGTGGTGGCTGCTTTCTAGTATGAACAAATAAATTATTTTGGACTCTTGTATCCTTTGGTCTGGAGCGCCTTCATTAGTGCTTGTTTTTTTTCTAGTTCAGACTGGTGGCAGCCCTTCCTGCTCCTCTGAAAAAAATCTGCAGTGGATTGCTTTTCAGAGTGCTATTAGGAGGCAATATTTTGCCTCCTTACCACTTATTTTAACCCTCAAAAGCCCTCACTACAACCTTGTGTATTGGTGTGGTTGCGGTGCAGCCTATTTACTTGAACACAAGGTATAATTTTTGCCATCCACATGTAAAACGTAAGGGGGGTGGTAAGACTGAGGCTCAATTGTTTTTGCCAATCGCCTGTGTGAAAAAGCCCAGAGACTTGAATTAAAATCTACAGTTGTGACCAAAATTATTCAACCCCCAATGCTGTAAAGGGGTTTAGGGACTATAGTGTACATTTGGAATTGTATTCAGAATCAAATCCTACAAGGACGTTGTAACTACCCAAATGCAACTAAAATGACATCAATTGTTTATGTAATACAGTAGTAAATGGTTCTTATGTGGTTTCTTCATTGCCACAATTATTCAACCCCTTAAAGACTACCACTCTGAAGAACAGAGGTTCATACAGGTGCTTTCCATCAGGTATTGAAAAACACCTGTGGATGTCACCGAGCAGCAATCAAGCATAATAAGCACCAATTAGGCAGCTTTAAAATGACTGTGATACTCAGCTCCTTCTAGACATTTACTGGTGTGGTTACAAACATGGTGAAGGCAAGAGAATGGTCCAGGAAGACAAGAGAAGAGGTGATTTCTCTTCACAGGAAGGGCAATGGCTATAAGAAGATTGCAAAGATGTTAAACATACCAAGAGACACCTTAGGAAGCATCATTCGCAAATTCAAGGCAAAGGGCACTGTTGAAACGCTACCTGGTCGTGGCAGAAAGAAGATGCTGACTTCGACTGCTGTGCGCTACCTGAAGCGTAGAGTGGAGAGAAGTCCCCGTGTGACTGCTGAGGAACTGAGAAAAGATTTGTCAGATGTGGGTACAGAAGTTTCAGCCCAGACAATAAGACGCACACTGCGTAATGAAGGCCTCCGTGCCAGAACTCCCAGGCGTACCCCCTTGCTGTCTCCAAAGAATAAGAAGAGTATGCCAAAAGCCATGTGGACAAACCACAAAAGTTGTGGGATAGTGTTCTGTGGACTGATGAAACAAAATTAGAACTGTTTGGGCCCATGGATCAACGCTATGTTTGGAGGAGGAAGAACAAGGCCTTTGATGAAAAGAACACCTTGCCTACTGTGAAGCATGGTGGAGGGTCAATCATGCTTTGGGGCTGTTTTGCTTCTGCAGGTACAGGGAAGCTTCAGCGTGTGCAAGGTACCATGAATTCTCTTCAGTACCAGGAGATATTGGATGGAAACGTGATGCAGTCCGTCACACACCTGAGGCTTGGGAGACGTTGGACCTTTCAACAGGACAATGATCCCAAGCATACCTCCAAGTCCACTAGAGCATGGTTGCAGAGGAAAGGCTGGAACATTTTGGAGTGGCCATCGCAGTCACCAGACTTAAATCCGATTGAGAACCTCTGGTGGGACTTAAAGAAAGCAGTTGCAGTGCGCAAGCCTAAGAATGTGACTGAACTGGAGGCCTTTGCCCATGAAGAATGGGCGAAGATACCCGTAGATCGCTGCAAGACACTTGTGTCAAGCTATGCTTCACGTTTAAAAGCTGTTATAACTGTAAAAGGATGCTGTACTAAGTACTAAGATTGAATGTCACTTGGGGGTTGAATAAAACTGATAATGCTGTGAGCACAGAAAAGACATTTGTGGTTATTTCATTATAACTGTTATGTTATATTTGTCTGACCTACAAGTGCCTCTTTAATGTAAATGTAAGCAAGATGACTGAATGATCAAAAGCAATGTCAAACTGGCCAAAACACTCAATTTCAGTGGGGGGTTGAATAATTTTGGTCACAACTGTATCTCATCATTTGTGCATTTAATTTACATTCAATGAACATTTTCTTTATTTCATTAGGAAATTTCAGAAGCTCGGTTGAAAGCTCGTTTGCCTCAGGTGTTGGTTGGCTCATTACATTCTGTACTGACAGCGGAGGTAATCTTATCTGTAGCAATAGGCTTGAGTTTCTAAACCTGTAACATATGATATCATTGCACTTTGTTTGCCTTGCTCAGGATCAGTGGCTTTCATGATAACACTACAGTTCCACTGAAAGTATTTAATTTGCCGATTACAGTTTTCGCAGTTAATGCTGATTAACAAAAGCGTATAACATATAATTGCTGCCACAGTTTATACTACATTAAAAACTCAAGTTGCCTGGCTTTTATGCTAATCCAGTAGCTTCAATACTTTAAGTTGCTAACCTGAACAAGTATGCAGAGCAGGAGTTTGGTCTTCAGCGTGACTTCACTTGCTCCTTTTTCTCTCGCTACATGTTTTCTAAAAGCTTAACTTCACAAAAACCTTTATACAGTTGAAATATATACATGTGAACCTTGCATAGGGACTATGGGATGTGTAGTACGCATAGAGCAGTGCATATGATGGCAGCCAACCTAAGCTGCTTGTTCCAGACAAACAAAAGTGGGAAAGGGAGGGAGGGGGAGAGATTTGAGAGCTGGCTCAGGACGTTACAAGGAGGCAGAAAAACACAGTAAAACTATTTTCTGGTAAAAGATAACAGGGCCATAAAATAGTGGATGTGTAGATTATATTTTAAGAACTAGAAAAGCTACAATTTCTGGGGAAATTGTGTGAAGTGTTTCTTGCCTCCGCCAGTAGTCTACAACTGGAGCGGGCGGAGTAACTGGGTGGAGTGGCTTGAGTAACTGTTGTGTGGTTGGAGTGGCTGGAGTAACTGTGAAAAGGTTGGAGTGGGCAGAGTAACTTTATGGAGTGGGTAGAGTAACTGTGTGGAGTGTTTGGAGTGAGTAAAGATAGTAAACATTACACTAACCAATTGATTGATCAAATTTAAAAAGTGCACATGGCAAGATTGATAGTGTGAGAAATGCATTTCAACTTTTAATTATTTATATAGCACATCAAACTGTTGTAGTTTAAAAATTTAAAATCCTAGAGCTTCATATTGTGAGAATCACAAGACCCAGACCTACATTTTGATGCATAGTATGTCTCTGAATTATTAAAAATGAAGGCACAGTCACAGTTTAGAAATTGCCCTTCAAATTTGAGGTGGCTAGAGTGGAGTTTCAATGAATGTCAATGGGCGGTGTGAGTTGCAAACAAATGGTCATATTGTGAAAACTATCAGGACTATAGCTTACCCATGGACATTGTTAGTGGCAGCAGGGATAGCTGAACGTTTTGATAAAAGATTTGTGTAGGTGGGCTTGAAAATGAGGGAGTGGTGGCAGTTTAGAAATCATGTCCTGATTTTTCTGCTCACACTCTAGCTTTTGTCAGCTCCCACTCTAGTTTTGAACATGCCGCCATTCATTCCTATGGGACCAGTTTCACCACAAAACGCCGATATTTCGTGAACCATTCGGCGAAACGTTCCACAAAGTAATAGCACACCAATCGGGAACAATCCACACGTTTCAGTATATTAATATGTAGTGTAAAAACTGGGAGGAGTTAGGGTGGTAAATTTGGCTATAATAAGAATATATATGTGAGATAACAGTAAGTGGTCTTGCCATGCAAGAACACTTAATAAGGATGTAGTCTGTCACTTTAAGGCTACTGGACATTGACCATCTGTGTGCTATTGTGTAAATCCATTTATTTATTACAGGTACTTGTATAGCGCCGTTAATTTATGCAGCACTTTACAAAACATATATTGTACATTTACATCAGTCCCTAACCCTTATGGGGCGTGCAATCTAAGGTCTTTAGACTGGATCTTTAGACAGGATCCAATTAACCTACTATCATGGCTTTGGAGTGTAGGAAGAAACCATTTTTGTATAAATGAGATAAAACCTACCCTGGTAATATATAGATGGAACAGTCTCAATGCTGGTGCTAAGGATGGTGTTTCTTCCTTTTAGTTTTCTCTTAGCTGTTTTCTTTACATCAGCGTCTATAGAATAGAGCTAGTCACAATTTCCTCAGCCTAGGTCTTCCATGGTAACATATCTGACATGAAAAGTGAAACCTGCCAGTAAAAGAGCAACAAGAGTATACTATCTTCAAACAATTATATTGTAATATCGATCGACAGGAAAGCGTTTTCTCCCTTTATCACAATTGGTCCGCTAAATAGAATAGTATGCGCCCCATGGGCTCTCAGCGCAAGGGTAATGTGGACCTTGTTCACATCATACCGCTACATTATACTCAATATATACCAGCATGCATGAGTGACCGTTGTTACTCGAACAAGAGCTGAAATCCAGACCTTAGTTGGCATCTGTGCGATAAGCATGGGAAAATCCTCCAGTGGGGTCACCTATCCCTATGAGAACTCTTTAGGATGGAAACTCTGTTCACAATGGAAAAATGTTCTTATTTCCTGTTGTGTCTCCTTGAAGGGAAGTGAAGAAAATATCCCAGGATTTTGTATCCAAAACTAAAATAAAAATGTTGGCCTTTCATCCTCTACAAGTGGCAGTAAACGGCACTCTTGGTAAATGTTAGCATCTCCTATTTGTCATTATAACTCATTTTACTTGGCATATACCCTTGTGGGAAAACAGTCAAGTGTTTGAAATCCAAAAAAGGCCTAAAAAATGAGGATAAAGTAGAAAAATTGTAATTTCAGCATGCAGAAACTAAATGGAAATTGAAAGGGGGTAGAGCCGCCATTTATTTTTTTTTGTAATTTCTGGGACTTGCGTACATTCTATTTTTTATAACTGTAATGCAACTGTTGTTTTTACTGCCCTTTTATTATTTCAGATTGCCTATCTTCACAAACACGTCTTAGACTTGCAGGAATGCTTGTGAGTATTTCCTTTTAGTGCAATTTTATGCTGTATGATGCCTAAATCTATCCTTATTGTTGAATTGCGTTTAACAAACCTTAAGCTGTGGCCATACTTGGCTCCTTTTTTTTCTTCATTAAGACGGTGAGCTGAATGAAAAAAAAAAAGAAAAATGGAACCAATTCACAGTAGATGCAACAATCCTCCTCGCTGTGTCGGGGTATCCTGACATCAGAATAGTCATCTGGACTCCACTGTCAGAATACACTGATCAATGCTGCAGCCTGTTGGCTGCAGCCCTGATCAAACTAAAACTTTTCAACAAACCATTTTGATCAGTAGATTGACTTCTCTCATACAGGACTGGCCATAGATCAAAAAAAGAAAAAAGGGCCACATTTCAATCCATCTATGGCTGGCTTTACATTTATTTACTTAATGGTTTAGTGTTTTTGTCCATCATATGATTTTATGTAAGGTGACATCTTGTTAATTGACAGTCATGTTTCTTTCCTTGATTTAGGATGGGCTGGTCAGCGTGGGATGGATGGATTGTTCTGTTCAAGCTGATCTCTGTGAAAATTTAGAAATTTTGTCTAGCACTACAGCTTATTTCCCTCCTGGAGTCACTCTAACAAGCAAAAATAAAGATGCTTTGGTAATGTTTTATTTTGTGCTATTTCTACTGTGTGCTATTAATGAGGTGTGTTTACTATAATATACTTTTGATAGATGGTAATCTGTGGAATTGTGAAGATATAACATACTGTATATAAATATAAAGAGTGCAGCAGATAAGGGGTTAAGTGTTGAGGATATGAAGGCTACATGTTAAGGGCTTGATTTTGAGGTAAGGATAAGTGTTGATCTTGCCAGAAATGCAATGCCTTTGTTCTGGTCTTCCTTCTGTAAACTACAAATCCCTCCCCCATGTCATTGAGAACAAGAGGAAGACATGTTTTGAAGTCTATCCAGCCTGCATAACTACCATGTCTTTGTCTATAGATACAGTTGAAGAGTAAGAGTAGCAACCCAGGGACAGGAAGTGTTATTCTCATGATTATCGGGTGAAAATAAAAGGAAAAAAGCCTGTAAAAAAAGAAAAATAATTCTGCCATCTCCTGTAAGGACTGGGAAGATGCTATATATTGCTTTTGGTTTTTTTAGTTTAGATATGCCTTAGTAGTTTTTAAGTGATGGGTGCAGGAGTGAGCTTTAGTGTATGGATTGTTTTGCTTTTTTTTGTTTTTGTGTCTGCATTATAGTGGGGTATTTTTTATTTGTTCTTGCAGCCAGGACTCCTGGGATTTTGGCATCAAGAACCAATGGGGTTGATTTACTAATGACACATATACTGTGCACTGCAAATGCGCTTGCTCCAGAGCTTAGTAAATGAGGTAAAGGGATTTTTTTTTTTGGTACACTTTGCATAGCGAACACATGATCACCGGGTCCCAGTGAACTTCACCGGGAACTTCATTCGGCTATGTCCACTGGACACAGCAGTCGTGGGGGGGGGGCTGCACGCCTGCTTGTTAGTACAGCCAGAGGTTTTACATAAATTAATAAAAGCTGACCATTGTAAGCACCCCTGTCCAATGTTTAAATGGTCTCAACACACGAACTGCCATTTCTGACAGCTTTGTGTGTTAGACGTTTAAAAAAAAAAAAAAAAAAAACAGACTTACTGGCCGGATCAACAGGCGTAAAAAAAAAAAAAAAAGGCTACTTTCACATTGATCTATCAATAACGCATATGTGTTTTTAACCACATTTTTTACAGGACACGTGACTCAAATGCACCGCGGGTGTTTTTTGGGGAGTTTTCCATTGATTTCAATGGGGAGCTTTATTGTTGGTGCGTTTTTTTTTTTTTTTTTTTGGTGGGTTTTTTTTTTTTTTTTTGTTTGTTTTTTTAACCACACCAAGCCTGCACTAAAAATGCAGCAAGCAGAATTTCAAAAAAAATGCACCTGACTTGCAACAGACCAATGTTTAGAGTTCCATAGGAATACATGGTCACATGTTGTCTTCTGCTTTTTTTAAATACAGTTTACATCAGTTTTTCATCCGTTTTACTTCTGTATTTCATCAGTTTACATCTGTTTTATTACATCCTTTACCAATGTAAAAACAGACCGTATGTCTGTTTTTACATCCGTTTTTCTTCTGTTCAAAAAAAACAGATGCGGACATTAACGGATGTAAATAGATGATCATTTGTTTACATCTGCTAGTCCATAGAAATACATGGGTGTACATTTTTCATCCGTAAACGAACAGATGAAAAATGGACATACGGAACGCCCATGTGAAAGGGGCCTGAAGCAGCTACCACAGGCTAACGATTGGTAAACTGCAAACTTAAATTTTTTTGGGGGGTTTAGTACTGTGTAAGGGCTCGTTCACACTTGACTTTATTTCTAACTCTTGCCAAATGCCCCTATAGTATTAGACAGGCATTTGTGAAGCGTTTTTAACACTCTATGCGCAGTTTGCGGCGGTTGGTAGGCTTTTGCCAAGCTTTAAAACCGCACCACAAACGCCTATAATGAAGTTTAAATGGTGTTAACGCTCCAACGCCTCGCAACGGCACCACAAACGCCTATAATGAAGTTTAAATGGTGTTAACGCTCCGCAATGCCTCGCAACCGCACCGCAAACGGCGGCCAGGCATTTGCGGAGCAACACCATAGACTTGAATGAGAGGCTTCAACTCCTCCTGACTAGACCAGAGGCGTCCGTTTTGCCGCGACTCTAACGCTTCCGTGTGAACAGCACTGTGTGCTGCCATGTGCAGAATTTTCAGAGGCCTTTGAGAAGCGTTAAAAACGTTTGCCAAACACCTGTCTGACGCTTGCTGACAGAGCTAGTGTGAACGTAGCCTTAATTATGTGATAAAAACATTTTCACAAAGGAATAAGCAACATCAAAATAGTGAACTCTTTTTGATTGTAAAACTAAAGTAGAACTATGGGAAAACTCTTGTTAATTTTAGATGGAGTAAGGGAGGGATATAATCCCTGTCTTTTTTTTTTTTTTTTTTTGCTAGCTATATACCATTAGGCCTCATGTACACCTTGAACTCCCGTAGACATTTAACTCTCCTTGGTACCATGTTTAGCGCTTGCACATTTATTCATTTGATTGGCCAGAGTATTTTCTATTAAAATGCATAAACTCCTAAGTGCGTTTTCCCACGTTTTAGCCTTTTTTGGCCAAAACGTCTCTCTCCTGACTGCAATTCTTCTGTGTTCAGGAGAGGAATGTTTAACTGCCCTTAAACTCTGCTGCTCCTAAACTCTGGTAAAAGCCTTTGTGTACATGGACACACAGACTTTTTTATTGAGTTGGGTTCAGGGGCTTTGGCCAAAAGCTGCTAAACTCACATTTAGGAGCAGCAGTGTACATGGGCCTTAGGGAGATTTACCTTTACTTCCTGTACCATAGCCAAAACAGGAAGGAAGAGGAAATCCCTGCAAATAATCCCTTGGGGTCACCAGAACCAGTGTCCCCATTTGAAAATTTCCCCTCTATTATTTTTCTGAGGATAACCAAAAACTTTTCTTGTACTTTCAATGATAATGGTAAGCAGGACAAATATAGAGAGGGTGAATCTCTCTAATGCAGGGAACAGATAGCAAAAAAACCTAATAGGTGTCTAAACTATCTCCACTTTATCCAAAACTAAAAAAAAATGTTTTGGCTTTATTTATACTTTTTAAGACCTTTTTCAAATTTTTTTTTTTTGCTTAGTTTTTTAGTTCATTAGATGCAAGAGAAATCTACGAAGAGGTGATAGAACACGTTCCTGACCTTGAAATGCTTTCTCAAGATTCTTTCAAGGTAAACAAAGGCTCCATGGGCGCTCACTGGGAAAGCCAAGTGTGATAAAGCTGGCTTTAGAAAACCATATGCTTCACTAATCACCACCAGAGTTTTGTGGCGTCAAAAAGTATCCTCTGAGCTGCTTAGAAATTGATATTATAGTGGTAGTAAAGTCCCCTTTGTGATTTTTACCTACAGGTAAGCTTATAATAAAGCTTATCTGTAGATAAAAAGAATATTTCCTAAATGTGCACCATTTAGGAGGTATTTGCTTTTTTTGGCAGCTGGCGCATGCGCTCTGAAGGAAAGGCACTAGAAATTCTGAAGGACCCTCTGCACACTGGTATATACCCTTTCAAGCAGACTTTGCAAAAAATAGGTATATTTAGTTCACACATATTGCAATACATGTTTAAGCTGGCCAACTGTGTCAAAGTAATCCCTCTATGGCCAGTCCTACTCTGCTCTGCCTATGCAAATGCTACTGTGGACACAATGCCAACATAGGGGAAAAGACACAATGGGGAGAGCTACCAGGTTCAGGTCTAGCTACTGACCCAACAATACAACAAACAAGATGCAGTTGGCCAGCTTAAGCATGTATTGCAATATGTGTGAACTAAATATCCCTATTTATTGCAAAGTCTGCTTGAAAGGGTATATACCAGTGTGCAGAGGACCCTTCAGAATTTCTAGTGTTAATATGTGGTTACACCCCTTTAGCACCTGATGGATAAATGCATGCACTAGATGTTGGGATTTGAGCACAGGTATATCTTGTCTGAAGGAAAGGCATACGCGTGCTGTTCCTTCAGAGCACTGTGCCGTTGCCCACGATTTCTGTGGGATGCATAGTTGCACTTTATGAAATTGCCTTGCAGGGGATTTTTTTTTTCTTTTTTAAAGCTGCGGCTTACTACCACTTTAAGTACTGTTTGGAGCTAAAGAGGGAAGATCATTGATTTGTAGAGGGGATAAGTGCATGGGTTTTCCATATTATTATGCTTGTTGAAAACCTCTTTTTAAAGTGAACCTGCACTTTGTCATTTAGGGTTCTGTTTATAGCCACCCCCCCTTTACTGCTAATTATTTACCATTTGTATGCTCCTCTGCCAGTCCACCACAAATTGAATAACCAGTCTGTGTAGCTGTCTTTTTTTTTTTATTGTCTAGGTATTTACCTAATTGTTATAGGAGCTTACAGTTATCCCTTTTTACTTAAGGACAGGTTAACCTATCACCGCTGGCTTGTGTTATTTAGCTATGGAATAGATGAACAATTCTACCAGCCTGAATTTAAGAAGCTGCCTGTTTTACTGCATGGTGATGATATTCAGGTAAATAATACACAAGAGGGTGTATATTTAGCCCCTTGTCTATCAAGGTATGTTTATGATCACTGTGGTTCTCCAATGGATTAAAACAAGCTGCAACAGCAGCCATGCGCTTGGTATTAAGTTTTACAGCCAATGATTGGCCCTTTTACATGGCTTTGAAGATGACACTCCCCTGGTGCCTTTCCTGGTTTCTCCAGTTCTTTTGGTAAACTATAGTAAACTACTCCTACAGGGAGAGCAGAAGGAGCTTTGTGATGAACAAAAATAAATGTTCAAAAATAATTAAAAAAAAAAATTTAAAAGTGCCCTATCATGTATGAAAACTTAAATTGTGCCTCACAGTGAACATTGGAGTAAACAATAGCACATAAGCAGATAACATCTAAAGGCTATAAGCTGAATTTTGGGTACCATAGATTTATGTGATTTCACGGATGTACAAAATTTTATAGCGTAACACGTTTGTGGTCTTTGTACTTGACACAATCACATCTTTTTATGTTTTACCACAAATTTGGTATTTTGTATTGCCACTAAAATTAATTTTAATGTATTTTTTTATTATAAAAAAAGGTGTTTTTGTGCAAATATAGTGCATTATAAAACATGGCAGGTGCCACCATTTTATTCTAAAGGGCCTCTGTTTGAAAAAAAAAAAATCTAATTCTTTGGAATTTAAAGTAACTTCTAGCAAAAATGCAGCTTTTTAAGATGAGTGAAATTTTTTTTAAAATGACCCAGGTAGAAAAGAGGTTAATGTCTACTAGTTGTGTGCTGTTAGATTTTCTCCTTTTTTATTTTTTTTGGTCATGATTGTGGATTTAATTTTGCTGGTATTTATTTTCCTTTTGAAAGGTGGGACGATTTGACTGCCAGTCCAGCCCATCGACCTGCAAGTCTTTATATATTAAAAAACCTTCTGTAGTAGCATTTAAAGGGAAAGGCATCGATTACTATGAAATCCACCATGGTAAGAAACTGGAGTAATCATTTTCTTATCAGAAAGATCTCCGACTCCCAATGATACCATTTTTGTACCATAATAAAGTTTTATGTCAGGTAAAAAAAAAAAAAATGCAGTAATCTTTGTAAATACAATACATACACATTCCCTGTGTTTTTTATTCCTTTTAAAGACCCTGCAATGGCAGAAACATACTTGTTGAAATACACTTAGCCCCTGGATTGAGTAGTGGCAATCCCACCAATTATTTTTACTAAACTGATTGAACCATCCCTATATTCTATTCTCCACAACATAAACACAAATTGTCCTTTTAGTCCCAAGATAAGAGCTGGGAGGGCTCATTTAGGCTCCTTGAGAAATAATGGGACATTTGTTCAGGACAGCTCTAAATTATTTACATGATCAAAAGGTATTTTTTTGCATTTATCGAACAGATAAAAAAAATGCTTCCAAATATATTTACTTTAATACTGAAGCTTTTTTTTTTGTAAAACAGCAACACATCTGTATAGAATAACCTAGCACAGGCTAATAAGCAATTGCTGACAGTACTTACATGTTACTCCTTGTACAGCCACATCCTCTGGCTTCTGTATGTCGCGTCTCCAAACTTCCAGGTAGAGAAGCGCATACTTGCACAGAGAATCATGGGACATATAGTACCAAGGAGGGAATGGTAATGGTTTCTGAAGATGCATGTGTGCTTTATTCACAAAATGTGCCAGATGTGAGGACACTGAATGTGTCCACATCAACAGGGAGTCAAGACTGCACAGAGAACAAGCCTGAGCTCCTCCTTGGGAATTGCTGTCAATCAATGCTGTCACCTTGAAGGAAGAGCAGAATCATGTCCTCCTTGGTAGCCTGGGCATGTCAGCACAGGCACCTTCCACGTGTAAGCTTCTAGTCTTCTCTTGGGAGCGCATATGAAAAAGTGGCTCTGTAGGAGATCACAATTCAAGGTAGCCTCCCTGTTACCTGAAATCAGCACCAGTAAACGGGACTGGTTGAAACGGGGAAACCAAGGCTTTAAAACATGCAGAAGGGGCAGTCAATTCAAGTGTTTAAACACGTTTTTTGAGGGGGGGAAAAAAAACAACAACAATCCCCTCTGGGTGATCAATATAAATTGCAACAAACTTTGTTGCAGATTGCTACTTGTTTTTGTTCTGAAGGAATCTGCAATGTGTGTGTGTTGCTCGTCCATCGTGTTCAAAGAGGACCTTGACATTAACAGGTGGAGGGCTGTTCGCGTTGTGTCCGTAGGTGGCTGGTAAGGCCTATACGGGCATGAAATGTTTTGCCACATGTCAGGCAGACATATGTGGGAACCACTGTTGCAGCTCTGGCTTGGCAGAGTGCTTGCTTTTCTTGTGCTATGGTTGTTCTCTCCTCAAATGTCTGGCAGCCTTGATGGATCAATGTTCGCCATGTCGATCGATCTTGTGCCAGGGTTTCACAGGAGGTGATGTCCATATCCAGGGACATGAAGGAGACTTTCAATGTGTCTTTATATCGCTTCCTTTGTCCCCCGTGCAATCGCTTTCCTTGAGACAGCTCACCATTGGAGGAGCTAGGATGGGTGCGGTGGTCTGGCATCCTTACAACATGCCCAGCGTGTCTGGGCTTTCATCAGCAGGGTGTGAACTGATGTTAGGCCTGCTCTGGAGAGGAATTCTGTGTCTGGCACCTTGTCCTGCCAACAGATCCTCAGCCCAAGTCTCACTGGCATACATCGGGGTAATTGGCACTACTGCTCGGTAGACTTTGAGCTTTGTGGCAAAGCTTATTCCACGGCGGTCCCACATTGGTCATCAGTCTGCCAAATGCAGAGCTTGCCTTGGCGATTCTGCAGGTGACCTCGATGTCAATTGTCACTGCGTGGGATAGGGTGCTGCCGAGGTACATAAATTGGTCCACTGCTTGCAGCTTTTGTCCCTTCACTGTGATGGTAGGCTCTTGGTGTTGGGCTTTTGGAGCTGGATAATGCATCACTTAGGTTTTCTTTGTGTTGATAAGGAGGCCGAAGTTGTTGCATGCTGCTGCAAATTTTGTCCACACTGGCTTGCATTTCCTGATCCAACATTCAGGGCACAATCAGCAAAAATGGGGTCTCGTAACACAGTCTCCATTACCTTGGTGACAGCCTGGAGTCTTCTCAGCTTGAACACTTTCCCATCAGTCCTGTATCTCATATAACAGGATCGGTGCCAGCATGCAACCTTGCTTGACGCCGTTTGTAATGGGAAAGGCCTCTGAAGCTTCTCCATCGTGCAAAACACGAGCCATCATGCTGTCGTGGAACTGACATACCATTAGGATGAATCTGTCAGGGCATCCAAACTTCGACATGATGCACTACAGACTTTCATGACTGCCTTGGTGAGATCCACGCAGGTGGTATACAATTCACGGTTCTGCTCTTGACACTTCTCTTGGAGCTGTCGGGCTGCGAAGATCATATCCACAGTGCGGCGCTCTTTGCGGAAACCGTACTGTGTCTCGGGTAATAAACCTTGTTCCAGGTGGTCAATCAGGCGGTTCAGCAACACTCTTACAAGGATCTTGCCTGCGATGGAAAGCAGTGATATGCCTCTGATTATCGTAGACTTGTCAGTTCCCTTTCCTCTTGTAGAGGTGTACGTTGGACGCATCTTTCAGTTTCTGAGGAATGGATCCTTGATTCCAGAAGGCCTGGAACAGCAGAGAGAGTTTGTCGACAAGCACTGCACCGCCATCCTTATAAACTTCTGCTGGGATCGCATCACATCCTGGGGCCTTGCCACTGTACAGCTGGCTGATAGCCTGTAGAGTTTCAGTCTTTGTTGGTGGGGCGTCCAGGCTGTGATCGATATCCGCCTGGGAAATTCTGTCGATTGCCTCGTTGATGGAAGATCGGCAGTTCAGTACATATTGGAAGTGCTCAGCCCAACACTGTAGGATCAGAGTCTTCTCAGTAATGAGTTGCACCATCTGAGTCTAGTAGAGGGGAGCTCCTTAGAGGGTTGAGGTCTGTGGTCCATACAAGGATCTGAGGGTTTCATAGAACCTTTTGGCATTGTTTCTATCAGCAAACTTCTGAATTTCATTTGCTTTGGCACTCAACCAGGAGTTCTGCATCTTGCGAAGCTTGCTTTGTACGGTCCTGCGAGTGTTGAAGGCATTTTTCTTAGCTGTTGACAATGAGTCATTCTGATAAGCACGGTGAAGACAGTGCTTTTCAGAAAGTAGGGCCTTGATCTCATTATCATTTTCGTCAAACCAGTCCTGGTGTTTCCTGTGTGAGGGTCAAAAAAACTTTGTGTCGAAGAGTACACAATATCCCGGAAGCGTTTCCAGTCCTTTTCAGTATCTATCTGAAGTTCTGAGAGTTGGTTGTCAAGATCTGCTAGTGAAGCTGCTGTGCTGGGGTTCCTCAGTTTACTGACATTAATCCGTTTCATCACAGTTTTGTTTCCCTGCGGACGTCTCTTTGGCTTGATGTGAAGGCTTAATTTGGAGATGATGAGTCTATGGTCAGTCCAACAGTCAGCACTCGGCATGGCCGTGGTCACCCTTTCATTCTGTCTGTCTTTCCTCCGCACGATGACATAATCAATAAGATAACAGTGCTTGGAGTGTGGGTGCATCCAGGATGTCTTTTTGCAGGTGGCAGGGAAATGCAGTGTCATGAGTCAGTCGTACATGCCCTTGGGAAGACTGGAAAGTTTGTGGACAAGATGATTCTTAACCGCAAAACCAACTCCAGATGCACAGCGTTCAATACTGCTGCGTCCATATCAGAAGACTGTATAACTGCCTCCTGTTTCTGTAAGCTGACCTTCGTTGGCTAGACTAGTTTCACACAGGGCCTCGACATTGATGTTAAATCTTGCGAGATCTCTGGCGACCAGGGCTATTCTTCTTTCTGGTCAATCTGCTGAGGGGTTGTCTTGAAGTGTGTGTACATTCCATGTGCCAATAGTGAGTAGTGTCACCTTATGTTTTCTTTGAAGTTTTATTATGCGACCGCATGAAATGGGATCCCCTCTAGACGCAGTAAGCTGGCCAGGGATCTGTGAATCAACAATGTTTAGGGCACCTTTTCTAGCCCCTTTCTCTTGCTACGGAGGTGAGCAGTGTGGTCCTAAAGAGGGCTGCTCAGTCACTCAGGTAGACTCGTAATCCAGCTGTTGCTTCGGTCAGCAGGAAGACTATCATTAAACCTGAGCTGCTTCTCTGCAGGTCCGCGGCTACAGCTCCCAGTGTATCCACACCTGCTGCTTCGTCGCTCACCCATCGCCACAAGACTGAAGATTTATGGGAGTTGGGGGATGTCAAGGCTTGCGTGTGAATTGGATTAAAGTGAGGGAGCAGTGCGCATAGTCAGCCTCACTCTCTCTTCCCAGATTCCATCTTGCTCCAATTGTAGGACAAGAGCCAAGACATTTGGAGATGGCCTGGGTGCAGTGGTTGACCAGGGCATCTTTTGTGTTTTGCCGTGCTCTTAGCATACCACATCACTTGTAAAGACCGCCTTCATGAGCGTTGTCCTATTCTAGTAGGTATCATCCGCTCAATCTGCCGGAATCTTTCTTCACATGCTCGAGATAGACAAGTCCCTATCTCCCCTCAGGTCGATGACCCAATGGCTACTCTCAACCTGGTTTTGCCAGCCTGTCGAAGCTGTTGCCTGGGGTGTGGCAGCTGCGCATGCTACAGCTACTGTGTGTGTGTGTGTGTGTGTGTGTGTGTGTGTATATATATATATATGTGTGTGTGTGTGTGTATATATATGTGTGTGTGTGTGTGTGTGTATATATATGTGTGTGTGTGTGTGTGTATATATATATATATATATATATGTATATGTGTGTGTGTATAATGTATTTGTGTGTGTACATGTACGTTTTTTTTTTTTTCTGCCTCTTCCAGCTTTGGAGCTCGTCCCCCTACTGTTACTGGTAACCTGTTATCATGTGATCGCCGTGACTGGTCATAGCAATCACAAGATAATGATGTAAACAACTTTTCATGGATGGCTTTCCATTCATGAACAGCTTGCTTACTGTTGTGATCTGTGATTGGTCCACAGCAATCACATGGTGCCTTGCTATCTGTGCATGTGATTAGCTGTAGCCAATCACAGATCACAACCAGGAGCAAGCTGTTCATAAATGGGAAACTCACTGATGACAGCTAAAACTATTGCTTATACAGTGATCATCACTGTATAATCGATAATAACCGTATAAAAAAATCCCTGGTCAACACCCCCCCCCCCCCCCCCCAGAGTAGTACATTGTCACTATGGTGACACTAAGCTACTCTGATCACCAGATATTAAATAATTTAGAGAAATGGTTAAATAATTTTTTAAAAAAGTAGTAATTTATTTTTTTCTTTTTTTTATTACATACTGGTAAAACAGACCTCTCGCCCTGGAGCGGTTTCCCGCAAGCGGTTTTGGACCGTACCAGTCCTTTTGGGAGCCCGTATCTCCGGATCCATGGGGGCTAGCGACCCCAGATTTGGAGGGTGGGTAGCCTGTGACCTCCCCTACATGCACACCAAAACCGTTGACCATGTCCCGCAGGGTTCCCGGCAGGGGCTGGTTTTGGCGGGCCTGGGTCTTCCATAGACTCCCTATTTAAATTTGCGGTCGGTTCTGGTGACTTGTGTCGGCCCTATCTCCAGGCCCATTCGGTTCTGGACAAAACCATTGCAGGACTAGATACCTTGGAGCCTTTCAAACAAAACATATATCTCGGATTTATTTTTACCCCTTTTGACCGACCGGGAAAGTGCGGATGTTTTTTTGCCGGTACTTTCTGGTTCGAGTACCAATCCCAGAGACACGAGGGTACCCTCATTCTCTTGGAAAGACTCACAGTCATTATCCCTGATCACAGCCACACCACTGTACTGCACTGGTGACCACATGTAAAATTTAAAAAAATACCAAAAAACTTTAATTCATTTTCCAAGACAATTGTGACATAAAAAGGACAACAAGTTTTTTGAACTTGCCATGCATCTTACTAAATACCTCAGACTGTCTACTTTCCAGTAATGGGTAATTTGGGGGATATTTGTACTGTCCTGGTATTTCAAGGCCTCAAGAAATGAGTTTAGTGCATCAGGATTGATCAATTTTCAAATCTACAGTCAGGTCCATAATATTTATGGACCTGACTGTATATGCCATAGTTTGTAGATGCTCTAACATTCACACAAACTAATTAATATACACTTTATGGGATTTTTATTTACCAAAGACGTAGCTGAATACATTTTGGCCTAAATTTCTAAAGATATTTTATTTTTATTGGATATGTTTATAACAGTAGAAAATATTGGGTTTTTACACAATGTTTGTTCTTTTTTTTTTTTTTTTTTTTAATTATATATTAAGAAATAACCAAGTGGTGATCCAATAGCACTAAAAGAAAGCTGTTTGTGTGAAAAACATTTATATAAATTTCAGTTGTGTACAGTGTTTCATGACAGTGCAATAACCAGAGCACAATTATTATATTATTATTATACAGTATTTATATAGCGCCAAAGGGTATGCTCAGCGCTGTACAGTAGCAGGGGGCACATAACATGAGACAAGACAGTAACAGTACACTACACGAGGGGTTCGAGGGCCCTGCTCTTTCGAGCTTACAATCTAGGAGGGAGGGGAAGGTGGCACAATAACTGTAGCACAGTGCTAAATAGCAAAAAAATTACCTGGTCATGAAGTGGGTAAAACCTTCTGGAGGGCAATTGGTTAATCTACTGATGCACTTGCTGTGTTCTAATGAGGAAAGCTGTTTTATCAGCATCCCTTCTGAAGTGACTAAACCTTTGGGGGCACCTCGCCAAAAGTGACATCTTAGTGCAGACTTCTGGGAAAATCAGTGAGCCAATCACACAAGCAGGAAATTACATTTCTGGGAAAGTTCTGTGTACACTTCCAGGTTGCCACATTGCATAGAATGTTACAGTAGATAACGACTGCAAATTGAAAATGAAAGGTATTTTTTTAGTAACAATAAATTACAATATTGCTTGTGTAGAAATTGTATTGAAAGTGGGGTTACCTTGTAAGCCCCTGAAACTGCTGAAAATAAGGTTAGGTATTCATCTTAATAGAGCAAATAAGAGAAGTTCGTTGTTAGGGTTTATTTGACTGATTTTATTTCTAATTTGCATTGGAACACTGCTCTGTCCTAATCTAGACCATCATAGTAAGAGGGGTAGTGGGAGGGGTAGGGAGAAGGTGGAGAACACTCCAGATTGCAGCTATTTGTTTTCTGCTGTTTATAGGGGAGCAGGTAAAAATTCTTATTATGTAGTTGTGGACAGCTGCAAATCTTTTAATTTTTTGCTAAGGCTAAAAAGAATCTTGTCACAGCCACTGCTGATTCCACCTTCTAAAACATGTTAGTTGCTTGGCAGTTGGGTTGCTTCAGAGACACAAAACCAGTCACCAAGCATCAGCCAAATGAATAGATTAGTCTTTTAATTTTATAGCAAATGCAAGCTTGTGCTGCAGAGGAGGGGAAGTATGCCCTTTACAGGCTTGCTTTTAATCTGGCTAAATAAACTGGAGTCTGGTTGTACAACATCAATACAAGGGTCTCCCAGATAAGGTATGCTTTGAATGGTTTATTTAGGCATGCCCTCATACTACAAAGTTTTGGTAAATTTAAATGATATTGTACAATCAGACTGTAATTTGTGTGTGCGTGGCCACAACTGCACAAGAATACTGGGGGTAAGGAATGATAATGGCTATGTCTTTTCATGGAACAATGGCAATGTGACTTATACTTGCAGCCCCCACGCTTATTCTGTTGCTGTAAAAGTAAAACCTTGTGTGTAAGCTTTGCATAGGAGCTTACACATGGTTGATGATGTTATTCTCATCAGGTGACCGTATTCCAGCTTAATCAGGAGTAGTTCATCCTGGGAGAAGGGTGCATGCTCCACAATATTTGGGAACATCCTGTATTTGGCATTCTCTGACAGAGAGACAGGTAGCACAGTGAAGGTGGGTCTCTGGTGACTTAAAAAGACTCTATGAATTTGTGATAAAATGTGAAAAAAAATGTATAAATTGCATATATATTGAGCAGCATTTTGAAAATGGCTAATTAAATATTTTGGTAAATACTTTTTTTTACAGTCATGCCTGAAATATTCCTGCAACAAAAATGTTTTAATTTGTAAATTATTTTGGTGCAATAAAAGCTGCATTTATTTCTTTCCACAGGTAAGGTAAACATTTATGATCTAATTTCTTTCACGAAGGAGAGCGTAAATTCTCATGTCGTTACTCTTGGACCTGAGAACTTTCCTGAGAATGACAGACAGCCATGGCTGGTGGACTTCTTTGCACCTGTGAGTAGGAGCGGTTTCCCTTTTTTGTAATAGTTAACTAGTATGCTGCTACATCACTACAAAGACCAATAAAGATAAATAGATAATTAAAATAATCTATGTGGGTACCACTACTCAGATAAACCAAAATATAAATAGTGTAGCACTGCCTTTTTAAGCAATGTGTATATATAACACAAGTAATGTGCAAAGTAAGTGTAAACAGAACCACAGTGCTGCAAACAGTTCACAATTACCTAAACCAATATATCTGAATGTAAAATTATACGCATAATTGTAGTACACAACTCAAGTGCTGTACAACTAAAGATCACAAATCTTCATGCAAGTGATTTTAGTGTGGTGCATAACTCTAGTGCTGGGAGCAAAAATCCCTATGAAATACTAAGTTATATTATAAAAATATAATGATGTGTATACTGTGTATGTTTTAACAGTCAGATACATTGGTTTAGGTAATTGTGAACTGTTCGCAGCACTGTGGTTTTGGTTACACTTACTTAATTTGCACATTACTTGTCATATATACATTGTTTAGAGACAGAGCTACACTGTTTGGTGATTTACTCATCTTGCTTTGCTAATTTAGCTTTTTTTCAATCGGAGCACCAATTTGGATTGTTTAGAAGTACAGATGCTTACATTGTATTCTGTTTTATATGTAGTGGTGTCCTCCTTGCAGAGCTTTACTGCCAGAATTAAGAAAAGCCTCCAAAAGAGTGTTTTCCCATGTCCGGTTTGGGACACTGGACTGTACAATCCATGAAGGCTGTGCAATATGGTACGTATCTTTATCAAATGCTTCTTTTAGCACACTCTGAAGTGATACTTCAAGAAGTAACATATTTAAACTGTATTTAAAAGCAAAATCTTTTTGAAAGCGTTAAGGTTGCCTGCCACGGCATATGCCAGTAATTTTATTCTATTGTCTAGAATATGTATTCCAGCTACTAGAATGAAGTTGCATATGCATTTATGCACTCCTATACATAAACTATGCCTGTATGCCACTCTCTGAAAGCTGGTTGGGGCATTTTTTTTATTTATTTTTTTATGCCCTTAAATGCTGTTCTAAAATACAAATCTAATTTGCACAATGTGGTAAACTGACACACTAGCTAATATAGAGCTGCGTTGAAAGGCATAAAAAAATGCTTCTAAAAGTGGAGTTTTTTGCTGCCTGTGCCCAAAGTGCATCTCTGCTTTTGCTAAGAAATAAACAATTGTCCCCTGGTCCCTTACTGATAAAGCAGCCATATATGAAAACAGCCTAAGAAGCCATTATTGCAGGAGATGCAACCTAATACAAGTTGATCAGTCCAGTTGCTGACCCTGTGTAGACTTTAGTCTACAAAAAACAGTCATTCTGTCTTACCTGCCTTTCATTGACCATAGGCTGTAAAACGGTTTTATTTTGGATAGAGTGGGGAAAAGTTAGACCTCTCTAATGTTTTAAAGCTGAAGTCAATTCTGCTTCTAGTTATCCTTCCCTAATTCCTCTTTCTCCCTCATCAGCATGCTAATGGTAAAAACACTTTTCCATTTTTATTTTATATCTTAATTTGGACCCATTTATGTTATTACTGGGTGTCTGTGGCAGGTAGATAATGCCCGGTGTGAGTGTCCTTCTGGGTGCTGTACATACAGTTGTGTTCAAAATAATAGCAGTCAGACATCACTAACCTGATCAATCACTGTTTTTGGTAGAAATGATATTTCTACATGGCAAATAATTTACTAGCGGGTGTAGTAGAGTAATAAAAATCCAACAGTCATGACATGCATGCTGCTGATTCTGTGTAATTGAATCACTAATTGAAAGGGGCATGTTCAAAATAATAGCAGTGTGGAGTTCTATTAGTGAGTCATTCATTCTTTGAAAAACAGGTGCCAATTATTGCCCTTATTTAAAGACGGAAGGCAGCAAATGTTGTACATGCTGGTTACAGTGCATTTCTCTCTAAAATTCTGAGGAAAATGGGTCGTTCCAGACATTGTTCAGAAGAACAGCGTACCTTGATTAAAAAGTTGATTGGAGAGGGGAAAACATATAAAGAAGTGCAGAAAATGATATAAAATAGTATAAAATCGCAAAGGCTTTAAAATGGCAACCAAAACCTGAAAGGACATGGAAGAAAGCGCAAAACTACCATTCGAATGGATAGAAGAATAGCCAATATGGCAAGGACTCAGCCAAGAATCAGCTCCAGGAAGATCAAAGAAGGTCTAAAGTTCCCTGTGAGTACTGTTACAATTAACAGACGCCTATGTGAAGCCAAGCTATCTGCAAGAAGCCCCCGCAAAGTCCCACTGTTGAAAAAAGGACATGTGCTGAAGAGGTTACAATTTGACAGAGCACATTGACTGGCCTAATGAGAAATGGCGCAACATTTTGTGGACTGATGAAAGTAAGATTGTTCTTTTTGGGTCTAGTGGCCGGAGACAGTTTGTCAGATGACCCCCAAACACTGAATTCAAGCCACAGTACACTGTGAAGACAGTGAAGCATGGTTGCACAAGCATCATGATATGTGGATATTTCTCATACTACGGTGTTGGCCTATTTATCGCATACCAGGGATCATGGATCAGTTTGAATACATCAGAATACTTGAAGAGGTCATGCTGCCTTATGCTGAAGAGGAAATGCCCTTGAAATGGGTGTTCCAACAAGACAACGACCCCAAACACACCAGTAAACGTGCAACATCTTGGTTCCAGACCAACAAGATTGATGTTATGGAGTGGCCAGCCCGATCCCTGGATCTTAATCCAATAGAAAACTTGTGGGGTGACATCAAAAATGCAGTTTCTGAGGCAAAACCAAGAAATAGAGAAGAACTGTGGAATGTAGTCCAATCATCCTGGGCTGGAATACCTGTTCACAGGTGCCAGAAGTTGGTTGACTCCATGCAACACAGATGTACAGCAGTTCTCAGAAACACCGTGCTTATACAACTAAATATTAATTAAGTGATTGAAAGGAAAGCAAAATCTTCAAACGTTTTTCAGTTTATATAGTGAATATTTGAGTTTGTAAAGAAGAATACAAACACTGCTATTTTTTTGAACAGTCTAATATTCACTTTTCTTCAATTTTTTTTAGAGGAACAACACAAATTTGATACATTTTTCTTCATGTTTTGATTTGGAATAGAATGTGTAGTGTTCCCAATGCATATGTGTGTATGGAAATAAAAGCTATTAGAAGGATTTTGAGCTTTATTCACTTTTTTCAACACTGCTATTATTTTGAACACAACTGTATATATTTGTAAAACATCACAGCACCCTTCCTCAGTACTTTTCCTAAGCCCTTGGCCCTGATGCAAGTGGGATGGCTCTTGGGAGATATTAGGAAAATATCAAAAAACCCTGATGGTTTTATGTCAGTCTGGAGAAGTGGGCATTCCTTGGCAGGCTGCATTTGCGTGTGATTCTGAGCTTTGATGATAAAAAGAAACTGAAATCCAATGAATGGTAAGTTCAAACCAGAGATGGGCTGGGAAAGAAAGAGAGCTAGATTATATTGGTTTCCCTACAGCCAGAAAATTAAGCAGGCTCTATCATTGCAGCTTATAATGCACACTGTGAGAAGCTCAAAGCATGCCATGAAATCTGAATAAGCATTTTCTGTATAGGTGGGAAAGCCTGTATAACTGTGCAAGACTAACAATATGGCTGGAATTAACATTGTACTTGCTGCCTGTGTCTTTCTGTCCTGGTGAGCACTATACCTCTTATTTCTTATACTGGTGTCACAGGAATAGAAAGTAAGGGGCAGCTCCAAAATGGTGTCACTGACAGTCATAAAAACCTTGCACAGGTTCTAACCTTGTCCTATTCAATTTAAAAGTAGGAAGAACATTTTGAACTGAAAGACTTAATGTGGACATAGCTCTCGGTGTGTGTAATTCAACTTTTACTCTGTGTTCATGGTTAATTTTCAATGTTACATGTGATCTTTGAAACAATGTCTGTGAAAATGATTATATATTTTTACTTTTTCTCTACCAGCATAACATTAGAGCTTATCCTACCACTGTCATTTTTAACCAATCCAATATTCATGAGTATGGGGGACATCATAGTGCTGAGGAGATCTTGGAATTCATTGAGGTACTCTGCACTATACATTAAACTTGCACTTTGCTTGGCTACCTTTTTTATATGTGTGTTGTGCTTCTTTGCCTTTGTGCTTTTAAACACATTGATGTTGTATATTTGTTTTATTGCCACTAATGCAGCTATCTTGTCATAAACATTATGTAAGAGTAAAAACACTGATGTACTCTGTTGGTTTAACCTTCTGATCTAATGTTGTGATAACAGGATCTCCGTCATCCTTCTGTAGTTACACTCACAGCAGACAATTTTAAAGAACTGGTAAAAGAACGAAGTAGAGATGAAATCTGGTTGGTGGATTATTATGCTCCTTGGTGTGGACCATGTCAAGCATTGATGCCTGAATGGAAACGTATGGCAAGGGTAAGGGAGTCCTGTCATTTAGTTAACAAAGGTTGTTTATCAAGACCTGGTAAAAGCAGGACTTCAATATCCACAAAATAGAATGTGCAATAAGTTGCATTGCTGGCAGAACCGCATGTATTATTCTGTACTCATAGAGGTTTACTTACTATAACTGAGTGCAATATGTAGAGTAGCTGTGCATTATAGCCTGTCGGTTATCTAATTTCAGCTTGTTCAATCAAGCTTTGACAATAAAACCTGGAAGCTGTTTGGTTTTTTTTTTTTTCCTTGACATGCTTTAAGCTGAGAGCACATTAGTATCCATGGATGGGTCCGAATGGATTAGTATACACAATTGTTTAGTGAGGTGTCAATATCTCTTCAAAATGTGTTGTCTTATAGGTAACCTGAAATCATGAGAACATTTTGAAGGTTGCCATTGCTGATTTAATTCTTCAAGGTTTATTTTCTGGATTCTATGCTGATAGATGCCTCACTGCAATACTTTCTAAACTACTGAATGTAATTTTGAATGCATCAAGTGATGTCAGAACTCCTCATCTAAATACTTGTTCCAGATTGTTGAAGTGATTGGATCAGCCTGACAGCTAGGCAACTAGCCTTTTCAGAAGGAGGTCCATAGTGACAGCTCACACGTGTGTCTGGTTTCCCTTAAAATGACTGTGGATTATTGCCAGTGTCAGTATTTTCAGTTTTTTGTATAGTATATTTCTATTAGCATTGTTCCTTTATCAGTTTTGTATGCATGATCAATGATTGCTGTTTTGTGGTGTTTGTGTGCGTGTGTGTGTGGTAACAAAAGTGATGTGGGTAAAAAACCATAGCAGTGTATTTAAAGCTGAATTCTAGCCAGGCAGCTGAATACAGAAATGAAATATGTCTTATTTGCCAAAAGATTTTGGTTCTGTTCAGCTATTTTAGCTAACCTTACAGACTTGCCATGCTGTATGGCCAGCACGGTGCAGTATTTTCTCTATTGCTGTAAAGAAGCACAGAAGTGAGGTCATGTATGCACCCTCCACTCCTGTAACCATGCGAGACTGACAGTACTGTGTAGTAGAGCCTGACTGGCTGACCCTGCTGGCCATCATTTTGCAGACTCCCAAAACTGTTGTACACATGACAATAGGAGGCTTATATGAAGACCTTTTTTAAGGTATCTATATCAACTGTATTTTTAAAAATAGTGTCTAAACAGTACATAATTGGGTTGTGGAGGGTTTTTTTTATATTTCCCTTTTAATGTTTTCCTGGAGTTCAGCTTTAAGTTAAATTACAGATAATCCAAGAATAGTTTATGATGTAGTTACATGGCTTTTCCTAAATCTAACCGCTAATTTGTTCATTGTATGTATAAATCAGCACTGTGTTTTACTTCCATTGCTTCCATATATAATGCAGGCGGAGGAGACAATTGGGTATGTACAGCAATTTTTAGTTATCCTTTTAGGGATCTGTCCTTACACCAGACATACAAAATGCTATATTTGTGTACATGTGGAGAAGAGTCTAATTTGTTTATTGGTTTGGCACACTCATACTTTTTTATTTTCTATAATTTTTTCAGCATCTAAGTGGATTGATAAATGTTGGAAGTGTTGACTGTCAGAAATACAACTCTCTCTGCAGCAAGGAATATGTCAACTCTTACCCTGAGATCAGGCTTTATCCAGCAAATCGGGACAATCCTAATTATTATCTGTGAGTACATCCTTCTATATTGTAGGTGTCTGTAATACCCATAGCAGTCAATTCTTTGTGACTTTTTTAACATGCACTTTAGAAATGATGGCTGAACATTGAAGGCAATAGACATTGTTCCTTCCAAAGAGCTTTGAGCTTCGCTTCTCTTGGTTTCAATACTGGGGTCCTCTATCAACTCAGAGACGTATGAAATGTTGTTGCTTCATACCCAAGTGTCACAGCATTGCTTTACTGCATAACCCTAGGCATTATTCAGCTACTGTGCTTCACAGATCTCATTTTGTAGACCTGATTTCATAAGTGTGTCAACAGGTAGCACCACCACCAGGCTGTGCCCTCAGCAGTACATTTTGGCAGGTAAAGAGAGCAAACCTTTGGATATGGCATACCAGGGGTATACATATAGATTTTACTACAGCCTTTTGATAGAAATATAAAGTCATATGTGGGCACAGCAGGTGTTTTGCTCTGCAGTCTAATGTGTAATAAAAAGCATGGATGGTTTCCTAAGTTCACCATCTTAATAAATTTGACTTATAAAAAAATTCTAAAAAAATGTCCAGCTCTGATCAATAAATTAAATGAAGTATAAGCAATGTTCCCGGAGAGCCTCCTCCAGCACTGACAGTCACATCTAAAGCTGCGGGGTCCTCCAGCTCTGGGGTAGAAAGGAGTTATATCATTTATAGAGCCCTACTGCGATCCAGTTACCAGTCCATCATATCCAAAGAGGGAAGCACCTGTAAGCAGGCATCTGTGCCCACCAATCACTTAAAGGGACCTCTGGCCAGCTGGATCCATCTACACCTCTGAGGGCTCATATCCTTACCATCTTGAGGGAGAAGCACCCTGAGTTCCAGTCCGGACCTATACCTGTGAAGGAGACCCGTGTTGATTGACATATTGCATAATTGAATTACGCTTCTGGTGAGTGCGTAATTCTTACCTTACCACTGGGAGCACCGCCACTGGATTGAAGTTGTATACCACGATATCTTCACTATATAGACTGTCACTGATTTATGTCTTTAATATTGGGGACATTGCTTACACTTTATTTAATTTATTGATCAGCGCTGCACATTTTTTTTATATGTTTTTATGACGATGTTTTATTTGATTTCCTTGAGTGTCCAGCTGCTTATCTCAAGAGCGCTCACTTTTATTGCCATTCTATTCTAATAAATTTGACTGCTTCTTGTTTTTCCTAGTACGTACAGTAGCTGGCAGAGAGATGCATATTCCCTGAAGACCTGGGCAGTTTCGTAAGTTACACGTTATAATACACAAGTAATTGTAGACTTTAGTATTTTCAGTTGCTAGTTCAGGTTAATTTAACCACTTGCCCTCCTGAGGATTTACCCCCCTTAATGACCAGGCCTTTTTTTGCTACTCGGCGCTGCACTAATTCAACTGATAATTGCGCGGTCATGCAATGCTGCACCGAAACGAAATTTACGTCTATTTTTTCACACAAATAGAGCTTTCTTTCGGTGGTATTTGATCACCTGTGCGCTTTTTATTTTTCACGCTATAAACAAAAAGAGACCAAATATTTTGAAGAATAACGATATTTTTTACTTTCTGCTATAAAAAATATATAGTAAACTCAAAGTTAGTTATAAATTTAGGCCAAAATGTATTCTGCTACATGTTTTTGGTAAAAAAAATCCCAACAAGTGTATATTGATTGCTTTGTGTGAAAGTTATAGTGTCTACAAACTATGGTATAAATACTGCAATTTACGCCATTTTTTTGCTATACAGCGCTGCAATGGTTTAACGGACAATTGTGCGGTCATGCAATATGATACATAAATGAAATTTGTGTGCTTTTTTCACACAAATAGAGCTTTCTTTCGGTGGTATTTGATTGCCTGTGCGTTTTTTATTTTTTGCGCTATAAAAAAAAAAGTCTGACAGTTTTGAGAAAAAAAAAACAATATTTTGGACTTTTTTTGCTATAAAACATGTCCAGTAAAAAAAATTTAAAAATCAAATTTCGTCATAAATTTCGGCCAAAATGCATTCTGCGACATGTCTTTGCTGAAAAAAAAAAAAAACCCAATACGTGTAAATTAATTGGTTTACGTGAAAGTTATAGCATTTACAAATGGCGGGAAAGATACTGGGATTTAAAATTTTGTTCACTAATAATGGCGGCGATCAGCGACTTATGGCAGGACTGCGGCGGACATTCTGACACTGGGTGGGGAAACTGACATCCCCAGTGACACCAATACAGTGATCCGTGCAAAAAAAAAAACAAAAAAAACCAGACGCTGTACTAATGGCACTGGGGAGGAAGGGGTTAACTTTTTTTTATTTACTGAAAGGGTTAACTGTGTGAGGGGAGTGTTTTACTAGGGGGCGGGGGTGTGTACTGCACGGGGGACACGCTGATCAGGAGAGAGAAACTCTTTCCGGCTCAGTATGTCAGGAGCGGACAGGGAAGTGACAGAAAGCAGAGCTACTGCAGCCCTGCTCTCTGTCAGTGATTGCCACTAATCGGCGGGGCACAGCCGGTAACGACCGGCTGTGACCCGGCGACTGACATCCGCGGCCGTGATCGGCGGGACAGGTAGGGCGGTGGCGCGCCTCGTGCGTGTCCCCTACCTGTTTTGCAAACACACGTTTTAAAACATGGTTTTGCCCAGCCGTGCTGCCCTGCCGCCGTATTTCTACAGTGGCTGGGCGGCATGTGGTTAATAATCCCAAATCCTGTCCTTCCATTAATAGGTAACTGTCTTTAATTTTGTCTTTCCCTTTGTTTTTAATCTGTCATGTTGATGGTTTTATTTTTGTTATTTAAAATCTAAGCTTAATTCTATTCAAGAAAATAGTAAACTACCTACGTTTTACTTTGTGGTTAATTATATATTGTAAATTGTCTTAGACACCCCATGACTTCTGTAGCTAACTAAACAAGTTTTGGGCTCCACTGTAGTTGCGAACATCTTCACACACCAGAAAATGACCATTATGGGACCCAGATTGTCATAAACCAAATATAAGCAGAATTCTAGGCTGACAGAAAAAATAAGCACATGCAAAATAATATGTTTATGCCAATAAAAAAATCTTTTATGATGTGTGGATTATCTATTCTGTAAATATGCTTACCATATCATATTTTAAAGTATACCTGTCAGGTCCTGTATTCTGTAAACTGGTTTCATCACAATATGACACCTTGGAAGGCAAAATCCCCAGGAGCCACAAAATAGGTTGCACTAATATGTAAATTTAGACCTTTCCCTTTGGTATCACAGTTTGCATGCTCCATCTTACACTCTCTGTGAGGAGAGGCTGCCCATCATGGTGATGTGCCAGTAGGAGGCCTTTGACAGTAAAGATAAATGTAAAACTTTACTGTTAGAACACCCTGAGATTGGGAGCTCCGAAGATGCTCTTTAAGCTTGCTTCTGTAGGCTTTCTAGAGCATTCAAGACCTAATGGGGGTCCATGTATTACATCTGGTAGCTGGGAAATCTAGCTTATTCAACACAAATAAGAATATAGTAATGACATAAGTTAGGTGATTGGTAATAGAGCGTATTTATTTACAGGCACGAATCCTGGTACTTTTTCCTCTTTGTAAGTCTGCCTGAAGACCCTCTGTGTTAATGCTCAGAAATCACAAAACGTTGAGCACCCTCTGAATGGATATGAATAATTTCCTTTCAACATTTCTATTTCCTTACAGATATCTGCCTAAATTGACTGCTCACCTTACACCTGAAACCTTTGAGAAGGTGTTGAGTGGAAAAGATCACTGGCTTATAGATTTCTATGCTCCATGGTGTGGCCCATGTAGAAGTTTTGCTCCAGAATTTGACTTTGTGGCTACGGTAAGATTTACAATGCAGCTTATACCTACTGTATATATTTTTCTTGAATCGTTTATTGTATTCCCTTATGTGGTCCAGTCTGCAGTTCCTTTCTTGTGATCCCTAATGTCTCATTGAAGTCAGTTTATCTAAATGGGCTTTTCTATATATGTCATGGATGAGAAACCTAGTTGGCCATCGACTAGGAAATTGGGAGAAAATTTAACAAATATCCTTTGAACAACCAAAAAATATTTAATGCACAGGAGTAATTTTTTGCAGCTTTCTAGGTATAAAATCATTCATTGGTGAAGTATGACATGGGAAAGATCAGTCAAAATAATTTTCAACCTGTTGGGAAATAGTTCTGTGCAGGCCATCTCAAGAAAATGCATTAGGACAACAATCATTTAGAATACAGGAAGGTGAAATCCTCCCCAAAAGTGTAATGTGTTCAGCCCAAGTTTCAGTAGTTTACCAAAACTGAACTGAGATTTGTATAGAGGAATGACAATGATGCATGCCAAAAGCAAGAGTTAAGTGTATTCTACTCCATAAAATCAATTTCTGGATTCAAGTACTATATTCAGATCCTTCCATTTCATAACATACCAGAAGCAAATCTTCAAATCCATAGGCTATGCATACATTGGTGTTTGTGTTTGGTATTGACACGCATTTGAGAAGGATTTTTTGATGGACTGCAGATTTTATGGTATCCAGTACAGCGTTTTTATGGATTTACTTTTGCTATGTAGTACAATAATTTAAATTTCAATTGTACTTTGGGGGTGTAGGCAAATTCCTCCTGCCTTAGCTGGCTCAGTGGTTTGGTTGAGGCCGTGGCTTTAGAGGAGGTGGACTGCCATTACTCTGTATATCAATAACTCCTTATAAAGAAATTCCCATTTTTTTCCATTTTTGAAATGAGAATAAAACTCTTTTTATAGCATTTCTCCTTTTTACTTCTTTGCTGGCCTGCTATTATTAATAAACGACACCTGATGATCCTGCAGAAATGTCGCGTTTTTCTCAACTTTCGTCCAGTGATTGACAACGCTGACACTGCTGCATTAAAGTGGTGACATGCTTTGTCTTCTGTGTGCATCTGAATTTTGTGATTGGTCTACAGAACAAAGTGACAATGTTACTTGTGTCAGCACAGTACCCTTTGCTTTTTCTCTATAACAGCAGTGCTCATTTGAAGTGTAGCTTGGTGACCGCCTGCATGTCAAGGGGGACAGGAAGTGTCCTAAAAACTAATGCAAGAACAGTGATTTAAAGCTACTTCCCTCACTAATAATGTGGCTAGAGTCAAACAGACATGGCATTTTTGTAGGATCAAGAGTGCTTAAATTCTGAAATTGGATTGTTTGGTGCGGTGCATTTATTATTGTCATTCATCAGGTTAGGTGCAGTTGTGTGTACAAAGATACATTTTGTCCTATTATGCTACTCCCTGTTCGTTTATTCCTCTTTACAAGTCCGAGGTTGATTTACTAAAAGCAAATAGACTGTGCACTTTGCAAGTGCAGTTGTACTCTGCAAGGGAATTTGCCCAAGAGCTTAGTAAATGAGAAGAGGCTCTGCTGACTTCCATTATCCAATCATGTGCAAGCAAAAATGCTGTTTTATTATTTTCCTTGCAGGTGATTACTTGGCTCTGGAGTAAATTCCCTTTCAGAGCGCATCTGCACTTGCAAAGTACACAGTCTATTTGCCTTTAGTAAATCAACCCAAGAGTTTGCCATTTTCCCTGAAAACATGAGAAAGCATGCTGTATATGATTTGTTTGACTTGTCTAATGTGCACCAACATTAAGCTGATTTACCACCATAGAATAAATTTGATTTATAATCAGCTTGTTTAGTTTTTTTGTTTTTTTTTCTAACCTTACATTTTCAAGACCAGCAAAGGTAATCAAATGTGTGCACTCATCTATTTTAAATTGTTTTTACTGTTTTAAAGCTTCTTAAAGGGAAGGTAAAGGCTGGAAAAGTGGACTGTCAAGAGTTTGGACATATCTGTGACATGGCTGGCATCAGAGCCTATCCTACTGTGAAATTCTATCCTTCTGTGGGGTCCAAAAGGGTAATGTTTACATCTACGACACACATTAAAACACGTTATTTAAAGGAGTTTATTTGCGAAGATTAACTATAGATTGTGCTACTGAAGGTTATTTTTATTAATCCAGATCATGGCATAGCCGGTAGTACCTAGCAACACATTCAATTTGACTAAAAGAGCTTCGTAACATTGCAGACATTTCACTGTTCTTCCAGATGTTTTCCAGAATTTGCTAAGTTGGGTGTCAGGTCTTTCCATATATTCATCCCAGTTATGAAGCTGACCATAGATGTTTTGTATCTCGGCCGATTCAGCAGGGCCCAGACAAGATTCGATCCATGTATGGGCAGGCTGATTGTACCCAGTTCCATTCAATCGATTTGACTTGGGTACAACCAGCATGTCATATTTTTAGGATTCGATTATTGCCAGCAGCTATAGCTGCTAGCAATAATCACTGTGTTTGCCTGGCAGGGACGGCTGCCTGCACCTCCCCGCTGGGAGAACACAATAGCTCCGCAGAAGTCAGGGTTGATGGGGGAATCGAGCGATTTTTCTTTCTTACAACCCATGACCTGCCCAAGTCCTTAAAAGCAATAAAAGACCAGAGATAACAATGCATTGAACAATGTACTGTGATTGTTCTACCCTAGTTCAGTGAACCAAGTCTTCTCTCCCGTTTCACTAAATCTTAATACATGTTAGAAGGAATGTTATTCCTCTTAATTTTAATTTTTTTTTTTCTACTTTTTGAGTTTATGCATGCTGTGGGAACTCGCTTCAAGTGGTAGAGCTTCTTCAAAGCACACAGCAACTCGCTTATTTTTTAAGGGCCTGTTTGCCCACTTTTATTTAAGAAAGTTCAAACAACCAAAATTCTTCCCACGCAGGGGTATCCACCATCACACGAATTCAAATAAACAGTATTCAGCCTCCTGGCTTGTACGCAGTTTTAAGTCTGCCTCCTGCAGACTCTTCCCCAAAGTATGGCACTAGCACACAGCTAGTCTGGCTTCCACCTCTCCTAGGTGTAGCCCACCTGACTCCACGGCAGAGACCTCCCGTCTGCCTGGGTGGAGCCCTCCTAACTGCCGGGGTGGAGCCCAGAATCATGGCCTGGCTTCCCCTAAAAGGCCTGCACACACCTGTGCAATCAGCACGCTGGCTGCTCCCAAAATATGGGCCCAGGATTGGAGATTTCATCCCTCCCAAATCTCTAAGAAATCTCCAGGCTACAGGTCCCAAAACAGGCTTTACCAACCAAAGAGGAAACTGACAAACCAGTTTTCTCTGCATTAGGAGATCTGCCTGGAGCCCCTCAACCTGTAAGGTTGAGAATCCTGGGCCTCCATCGTGCTTTCCCACCGTGGCAGGATACCGCACTGCCACAATGCCTAGAAGTATGGATGTATGCAGACATTCTGCCCCCAGGGGCATACATCCATACCTTTATGCATTACTTATAAAACAGTTTATCAAAAAACATAATTGCAAAAAATCTATTCACAAAGGCCATAAGGCTGTAGACCTCGAGGGATACACAGAGCCCAAAATTGGCAATAGACGCAAGGCTAGAATGTTCTGTGTGGCCTGGGCCCCCCCTCCCTAGCAAGTGAACGAGTTGACACATTTCAAGGGCAAGGCACTCTTTCTCAGAGTTGTTTTATAGGTTATGCGCAAAATATTATGCCCTCTTTCTTGGTGTTTGTTGGTCACTGTAGAGATGTCCACAGTCTGAGGAGGACAGCATACTTCAGGTTTACAGGTGATTTGGAGTGAACTACTACCTCAACTCCATTTTCTAGAGGACTACTACCACATCTCTATTTCTATAGAACACTCACTATGTCACCTAAGCATTTGATGTATTTATTCTTCAATACATCTATACCTGTATGCAAGTATACGCTCAGAGCTGCGTTTACCCGTGTACAGACTGTTAATCTTGGGGACAGAAATACAGCTTTTTTCTTTTTTTTTTTTTTTTTTTTTTTTTTTTTTTTTACAGTGTACAACCCTGTGTTTCCATTTGTATGAGTCCTTAGACAGTTGTCACCTCAGCCGAGTGTCCTGTTTGGAAGGTTTCACCTCACCTCCTGTTCTGGTGACAACTGTAAATTTTGGGGATTTCACAGCACTTTCTGTTTCAGTGACAGTTTTCACCAGCACAAATAGAGTTATCTACCCGACATGGACATAGGCAGCAATAAGCACTGGACAGGGACAATAATAATCGTATACTCTTAAGTTAAAGTGTATCCATAGCCAAACCTTTTTTTGGATAAACCGCTGTACCCACAGAGTCCATGTCCATACATAGTTCTCATTTATGACAATTAGTTTTGTTACCCACTTATGCCCTTTATGACCTTTGTTACTGGAACTTCTCTACCGGTTTTATAAATATTCAGGGCCGTTTCACACTACTGTATACAAAGGCAGTCCAGATGTGTTCTGTATACGTTTTTGCATGCATGTTTTTCGTGAATTCCAGTTCATTTTTGATGCGTTCCAGTTCATTTTTCCCCCTCTTTTTCTTCAATTCAAATAAGTGTGCTTTTGGTGGGTTTTGGAGCATTCCGGTGCATTTTGTGATGTGTTTTGCCGCATTCCAGTACAGTTCTGTGCAGGAAAAATGCAGCCTCCTCTACTTTTATTTTTTTTCCTGCAACTGGAACTGCATGCACTGATGTGAACTATGACATTGACATCCATATAACCTACTATTTTGTGCTTTTTCCGATGCAGAAAAAAAGCAACTACAACGCATGTAGTGTGAACTGGCCCTAAATACTAACAGATACTACTTCACACTCTTGTCAGGGAATGATAACCTTTGACTTACTGTGTATTCTTCCCTCATAACATGTGATGTGTATTTATGATGGCTGTTATGACATTGTGTTTTTTCAATAAAGCCTTGATTTAAAAAGAAACTGTTCCTTCTCTTGCAGAAAATTTTTGATGGTGAACAAGTTGACTCAAAAGATGCCAGAGACATAGTGAAGATTATAACAGCAAGGATAGGATTTATTAATATTCAACTAAAGGCACATCAGAAGGTATATTTCAGACTTGGTTGCCCTGTTTGAATTTCCTTAATATTATTTTACTTAAAATGCATTGTACCTTCAGATATTAGTGTGACAGATATCCCTTCACAAACCTGATCAATTTAGATTGAGATTATGATGACAATTTTGGTACCTTGGGTGAAAATTGCTTGTCAAGGTAATCTGATTCCGAGACATAGGTAGCTGAAGTTTATATGAGAAGCTTGACTTCTGTGAAAGTTGAACTTGGCCTGTGCCTCCTCTAATTTCCCTTATTTGTGATGGATGTCATCATTGATGAGTAGAGAGTCTGGGAAAGTGAGTAAGGCAGGGCTGAGCTTGGTTTTCACAGTGTAATTTAAGATATGCATAGCAATTATTACTTTTTACAGTTTTGTGCCATTTTCAGTGGAGGTAACCATTACTTTTCATTTTTCATCATTCATTACTTTTTTTCATTTTTCATCATTCATTACTTTTTTTCATTATTGACTCAGGAATTGCCTGGGTTTGTGACAGGTATACGTTCAGTGTTAGATTTGTGGAACAATACAATGTAAAATATATCAGCTAACATGTTAATATTGGCATATTTTAAAGAACACCATTGAAACAGTTATACAGACGCAATGTTGACCAGCAAAAAACTGTGATGAGATGTAATCTCTTATCAAACTGCCCCTGCTGTAGTTTATAGATTTATAGCATATGCTGTTGCTCCTTGCCTCTGCGTGCCTTGTCTGTTCTTAAAAATAGGGTAACATCCTGCTTTAAAAAAAACAAACATTGCATTGGCAACGTTCTTGTGTCATGACAAATCCCCATTTAATTAATTTCTTTAATCACCTTCCACCCGCCATATAGTACAATGACGGGCGCTAGGTGGTTCTCTCGTTCTGATGACGTCCTTCCATTCTCACCGCGCATGCGCCGCGATCGCCGGTGCGCTGTGTCCCTTGGGCACAGCGGATCACGGGAAGAGCCGAAGATGTCGGCTCGGTCATGTGATCAGCTGTGTCCAATCATAGCTGATCACATGTAAACACGGAAATGCCGGTTATCGGCATTTCTCTCCTCTCAAGCTGTCACGCTGACAGCTCAAGAGGAGAGTCGGTAATCGACTTTCCGCGGAGGGGACATGTACACTGATCATCAGGGCACTGATGATCAGTGTGGCCCCAGAAGTGCCACCTGTCAGTGTCCATCAGTGCCAGCAGTCAGTGCTCATCAGTGCCACGTGCCAGTGCCACATCAATGCCACATATCAGTGCATATCAATGCCACATATCAGTGCCCATCTGAGCCGCCTTTCAATGTCACCCATCGCCGCCTGTCAGTGCCATGCATCAGTGATGCCTGTCAATGCCCATCAGTGCAACCTACCAGTGCCTCCTCATCAATGCCCATCAGTGCCACCTATCAGTGTCCATCAGTGCCCATCACTGCAGCCTCATTAGCGCACATCGGTGAAGCAGAAAAATCACTTATTTACAAAGTTGTATAACAAAAACTAAGAAAAAAACGTTTTGGTTTTTTTTCAAAATTTTCAGTGGTTTTTGGTTTAAGAAAAAAAAAAATCCCAGAGGTGATTAAATACCACCAGGGGGTATAAGTGCCCTGTAGGCTAGTGGTCAAAGTAACTTTGTCACTAGAAAACAATTTTAATAAAAAAACCCTGCAATAGAAGGCTCTTAATACTTGCCTCTGCAGCAGATGTCAGGTCTGAACTTTACTCTATTAAAGAGCAACAGATTCTAACATGAATCTTCTGCATTGACACGTCAGAATGTTGGATGCCTAGTTCCCCACATTGTGTAGTACTTTCTGCCACCCCCTATGTCGCTATTGTGGGCTAGAGAGACATAAAGCAGGTGGAAGGCAGCACAGTGCATTGTTAAGTACACAGGCTCTTCCAAAAGGGCCAGAGGCTTTAAGTTATCAACAAAGCAAAGTTTGAACTTGCCACTTCACTAGGAGAAATAAGTAGTAATAAGATTTCTATTGCGCAGGGCTTTTTGTAGCATTTTCTTCAAA